TTTATCTATTTAGTCCCGAAGGAAGATTTACTATCAGTGTGTCATGTAAAGAAGATTATCGAAGCAACTATAATTATAGTGACATTAAGACCTATTCATGCGTTCAACACAATCTAACACTGAAGCACTTGATTTTAGTTGAAAAACCTTTTGTTATACTATATCTTATTATTTAGCCCATTTTAGTGATGGGTATATATGTAACTCAATTCTTCAAAATCCATCTTTTGAATACACTAAAAACGTTTTAACTGTTTTATCGGAATTTAGGAATAGGCCTTAAGACACTGAACCTAAACTTCTCAAGATTTTTTAATTTTAAAAATGTTGGGTTGAATATTAGCAGCTGGTCTTCCATAGCTTAGTTATTTCATAACTCAGCGTCACCGCTTTACGTTTATGTTGCTGCTAACTAAAGAATCCCCATAGATTATTTTGAACAAGAATAATTTGAGAGAATAGTTGCTTTCAATAATTTCTTCTTCAGATACTACAGTTATAAATGTATGTGAATGAGTGAAATACAATAGCCAATGCAAGGCACAGCATTATATTATTTCAGTATTGAAACAGTGCTATGGAAAATGGAGATTAAACCAAATGGGAGTTTTTAGCATGTGAAATAGTTATCAGTCTAGTGTTAGTTGAGCACTGAAATCAATATGAAAAGAACAATAGCTACTTAGTAAACAAATAAACACAAGCATACACCCATACTTCAGATGGATAGATTTTGTCTTATCGTCTCGCGATTGTTCCACTCATATTGATTTTCGTGCACAACTAACACTAGACTGATCACTATTCCACCTCATAAAACTTCCATTTGAATTTACATCAACTTGACTTAATTTCCACTTATCCAGAGCACTGATTACTTCAGTATTGAAATAATATAATGTTGTGCCTCGCATCGGCTATCGGATTTCACCTATTTTCATAGATTTATTCCTTAAAACAGTTTTTCACTCTAAACCAAAGTTTCATTTAGGCACTGATCCACAAAGATGTGTTCTCTGTGTGCAGCAGACATGAATATACATTTGTGGAATCTTATAACATATAAAGTACTAACGTCTCATACCCAATGACTTCAAGATTATCTGTTAATTCTCAAATTGTGATGCAAACTAATATTTTTAATAGCAACTTTTTCTGAGTGAACTGTTCAAAGCTTTTCGCTCACTTCTGGTGGGTACTTGAATGGTAAGTCACCATAATTCAATTCTAGTGTAGTATCTACTAAGGATGCAGCTGGATAGATTGGCTCATTATTTTTCAGTAAATTTTTGTCGATTTCATATGCGAGACCAAATAAACGATTATTTTTTGACCATTGTATTATTCCATTACTCAAGTCGATGAAGCAACCAATTACATCGTCTTTACGGAAGGCCTATTATAGAAAAAGAAAGAAGAAAATGTCATTCATGTTCTTGATATGTAGTAAATTAAACAAAAAAGCAGAATTGTTAAAAACATAAAAGACCTTTATTTGTAAATCGGAAGTTAAATTATGAAATTAAATATCTGATTTTATCATGTGATACTTGAGTCAGTTACTTGAAATCCCTAGGGAATATACTACTGACTTATTTGAGTAGTTTCCGATTGTCTTGGCGCAGTTTTCACTGTCTGACAGAATCCGTATTAGGCTTTGAGCGATTCAGTTTCGAAGAAATCTGCCGTTGAATTTCACTATTAGGGTCCACAATCATATTCAGTGAGAATGTCACTGAGTCCTAGAATTTCTGAGTACGACGCTCTGAATATCAATAATTTCTGAGAGTAAATGAATATAAATGATAAACAGGTCAAAATCACATGTAAACTTAAACATTTAGTTTTCATTCATCAAAGGAAATGGAAATATGTGGAAGTACTTTTAGATCATGCATTTTTACACTCTGATAACTTCAGTTTCATAACTGAAACAACAAATGCTTTCCGGTAAATCTTCAGGATTTGCAGCATAACATTCTGTCATTGGTGATTAAATTTCATCCAAGTGATTAATTTTAGTGAAGAGAAGGGTAACCATTTCAAAATAAAAAAAAGTGAGTGACACTATAGAAGATACTTTGATAAGGTTTTTAAAAAGCCAACCAGAGTGTGAAGATAACCTGGTGAATTTTATTTTGAACTAACCAATAATAATGGCGAGAAATTTACTAAGAATGTTCACTACTTTTGTAAGGTGATCTAATCGTTAATGATTTCTGAACGAAACTTAATGATCTGAAAGGTAAACTATTATTCCTGATGAACTTTAGAAGTAGCAGCCAAAGGTTGCAACTAGGTGAAGGACAAACGAATCTTGAATTGAGTTATAGTGAACTAGTAGTTATCGATGTGTATGTGCTACGATCTAAATTGATCGTCAGAAATTTCCGATTCTATTCAGATTACACTAACGTGAGATTACGGGGAAAACAGAAAGAGGAAGCTGCTGAAGTGCTACAGCTTACAACTTCAATTATTCATTGGATGAATACCAAGTCACTGATATATATATATATATATATATATATATATATAAATTAGCAGAGTAATGCCAAACAGAAGTTGCATAGGGCACAGAAACAGAAATCCATCCATTACAAATGCATAATCCTGACCTTTGGTAGTTAGTCGCATTCATCACATAGTAGTGATTTGAATTTCACGTGGACCGACGTGTCAGTATCAGGTTGGTTGCAGAGACGAAAAATCAATAAAGTTTAAGTTTTTCAAGACTGAAAGTAGCCTAAGCCACCATAACACATAAAGAAACTAGTAATTTTTATGTATTATTCAGGTGGCCGTTGACGTTGTGAATACTCCTTCTGTTCCATTACAGCTTTTTCCGTTTATCGAGGAAGTGAGTAACCAACAACGGGTGGAATTACGAGGTCATTGTAGTAACGTCCATACATGCATAATTCAGGCTATATCAAGTCACTTTGGAGATAAAAAGTGGAGGCTGCAGATATAAAAGGAACCTGATGCACACCCCTTAGACTTAATAACAGATAAACACCCGTGAAACATTACTATTATTGCGATGAATTCTTATGCTCAAATGTTTATTTTACTCATGAGTAGTTTGGAAAAAGAGTACGAATTTAATGTTATCTTTCCAATTTATGTCTTGTAAACTTTGTGTGTCTCCTCACCGAATCCTCCCAAAATATATTGCGTTTGAACGTAAATAAGAAAAGCTGACCGTAACTCGATGAATATTTCGTTCGGAATTATTTATTCATAGTATTCAGCACGGCTTTATAAAAAATAGTCTTTTTAATCGTCTGCTGGTTAAAACAGACGATTGCCAAAATATAAGATCTATGATTTCATCATTATCCGAAAGTTATGGCGCGTGTGTAACAAGTAAGTGAGCACTTTCAGAAGAAATAATTTGTTTGAAGTATGGCTAATGGAGCTCTCTAAGGACGGTTAAAATAAAGTTCAGTTTTGGTTCAACTGTGAAATGTAATTCTGATATGGTATAATCTTCGAAGCATGATTCCAAAAGTAATGGTGCAGATCATCATAGTAATAACTTATTTCGCACCCTGTATATACGAAAACATTCAAATAGCAATGGATATTCTTCCAACTGAAAGAGGTTTTCTTGTAAACATAATATTGGTTAGATCATAAACACATTAGGCGTAAAAGCAAAAATCAGTGTAACCTTTGAAATATATATTAACATACACGAAGCTCTGAACTGTGTGCAGTATGTTTAGTCATCGTGAAAGTTAAAGGAGCAGTCTTGATCGGGGATGAATAGAAATTAAATTTCTTCATTTTAATTGAACTCTTGTGTATATGTATACTCTTACGCACATTTCAACCTCGTAAACAACAATGTGTATAAGGCAAGAAGAAAAATAGCAGAGGAATTAGTATGTATACATTTTTAAATCTTTCCCAGTTGCTTTAAAACCAATGGAATATTATGTTGAAAATGAAAATAAAGCATAAAATGTACTTATATAAATCTGCAAGAATATTTCCAATAAAATGGAAGATAATAAAGATGTAGGCTGACTGAAATTGATGAAATTCGATAAAGTTGTGAAAACTGCTCAAAGGTCACCTTTTTATACAATGATACAGTGAACATTCTAGAAAAGATAGTAGAGATTCGGAGAAAGTTGCAAACAATGTTATGTTCGAATTGGCAAGAAATGATTTGATGAATAAGTAACTGTAATAAAAGGTACACTGATTTTCATAATATTGAATTACAAAATGAGCGCAACCCAGAAAGTGAGAGTAGGTTTTAAATTATGTTATAGGAGAGAAAACTGAAACACAGATAGTCATGAAGTCACTGGATTTTATTGGTACAAATTTCGCAAACTGAAGTTATAAATGTGAACCAAGATTGACAATGGTATATTTTTGAATACGTAGATCAGGTTTACGTCTTTTAATTGTGATTACTTCAGCAACTCGCAAGAGGTTGAATTTCATTTTTTGTTTATTGATCACTGAACGATTACGACACATTAACACTATGCCGAATATCAAGTTAGTGACCAGCGATTGCTCAATTCAAGTCTTATGGATCTTTAGGACTCAAATCCTTCGGGATGTTTTGAGAGGTGCGAACATTCATGAATGCTAGTTCTGCTACTATTGGTGTTTTTGCTTTACTCAGGTCCTTAAAAGGACAGAAGTGTATGATTGATAAGTATTTATAACTGGTTCGGATTTTCATATATCTGTCATAATAATCAGAATAAGAATTTTACTAATTTTTGGCCGTTTAACATGGCAGACGAGTGTGTCTAGAAATCTATTTTTATACTATTATATTATTATTATATTATTATTATTATACTATTATATTACAGGATTGTTCACAGTTAGTACTTTGGTAGCAGTAAACCTTGATTAAGTGCAATGTTAGTATCCCAGCTCCCGTTAGTTGATACGAAGAGATTCATTTCGGCTGGATCTGATGACGATGAGGGATGACGACAGTTTAAACGTAAACTGACTGACTGATAGTATTCCTAATACCTGCAATCAGTCATGACTGACTAAAGTCAAAAGTACTAGCTAGTGTATGATAATTTTAGATGATCCCGTCCAGTTAGTCTGCATAGCTGATCATACTAATTTAGTAATAAGTAAGGAAGAAAGTCATCTCTTGGCCAACACAGACGTATCAACTTGATTCATACGGTATTTAAGATCCTAGGATCAGTACTCATCTGTTGCCCTACCGTATCTGGGGAACAAAAAAATGATGTATTGATCAAATTTTCCCTTTCCAATGAGTTCTAGAACTCGGATGTGATTACAAGAAGTTTTTAGATTATTGCCATCGATAAAGAGACTTAGGTTAAGCAACCGTGCTTTCTGCCAAAAGTCTTATAACATCCAATACTGAAATTCACCGAATTGGAGTGGCCCTTTGTATAGCTTATAGGTCGCACATCAACTTGATGGATAGACTGTATTCAAAATTGAACAGTTAAAATTTGAGAGCTTCTTCTAATTTGTAATTTGTACACCTTATAGGGTTTTTGATTCAGATAAGCAATAAAGCCGACAACTTACCATATTTTACCTCGGGATATTTATCTTTTTTCCGAAGTGTCTTATGAATCTAATTTGTGACACTTCACAAGCTGAATAACAATTACGAAATATTCGATTTCATGCAGTTAAAATGTAAGGTATTTGACAAAGTGAGGACTTTTGATAAAGACGATATCACTGAAGCTCGAAAAAACTGATGAAAACAATTACCGAATGACTAATAACTATGATATTATTATTATTATTATTATTAGTCCCTTGGGTTCCTAGTGGAACATAGGGCTTCAGTAGCACATCTCCATTTCACTCTCTTCTCTGCAATCTTTTCAACCTGGCTCCACGACTGTCCATAACCTCTCATTTCCTCCTCGCACGATCTCCTCCATGTCACCCTCACCTTGGACTCCCAACTCGTCGCTTCCCTTGGGGATTCCACTCCAGGGCCTGACGCGTGATGTCCTCAGTCGGCTTTCTCAGTGTATGCCCAATCCATCTCCACTTCCTCCTGCATATTTGTTGGGTGATCGGTTCTTGGTTGGTTCGTTCCCAGAGCTCCTTGTTGCTTATTCTTATTATTCTGGCCATCTGATCTTCAGTAGCGAGCGTAAGCAGTTGTTGATGAATGTCTGTAGTTTATTGGAAATCCCTTTCGTAACGCGCCAAGTCTCTGAACCATACAGAAGCACTGGCTTGACGTTGGTGTTGAAAATCCGGATCTTGTTCCGCATGCTGATCTTTTGCACTCAGCATGCGGAACAAGATCCGGATTTTCAACACCAACGTCAAGCCAGTGCTAAGTTGGCAGAATGTTCAAAACGGAATCTCCAATCTTCAACATGATTTGTACACTATATGGTTTGTGACTATGTTAAGCACCTTTTCATAAAAGAATACAGGGATGTGGTCATTGGTAGACTTCGTAAAGAGATAATATTGAGTGTTAACACCGTGTGTCACTTAAAGGTCCTAGATGTTAAAAAGAGTATATATTTCATTTCATCAGATAACTGGTCACATTGGAAATGTAAGAAAGTTACTGAAACATAAACTGTCGTTGATGATTGATATCTAAAGTGAGGTTTTCAACGAGTGGGTCAACCAAATGCATTATTTATTTTCAGCGCCTCCCAAAGGTATCTGACATCAACTTGGATTAATGTCAACCATAAACTAATGAAATCTGCCCTTCTAGTGCTACCAGTTAGATATGACTGCCAGAAAGTGGTGAATCTCGAACAAATTAGCATTGTGATAGTTCAAGTGGGGCTTACTTGGCTTTATGAAATCATCGTGAACTAAATTTGTGACTTAACGTATACGTAAAATGTCTGCTAATCTGTACGCGAATAAATTTAGTTTTTGATATCAACTTTATTTTGCTTTGTACCACAGTTAGAAAAGAACCCACCATTTATGGTTTGCTTAGGTGACTAATTGTTTTGTCCAAACAAAAATTTGTTTCAAATAGTAACCGTGTTAAAATATAGTGAAAAAATATAATGAGAAAGAAGCTGTTTTTACATTGTCTATGTCTTACTTCATAATAACCTATCTGTTGCCTTTGAAACTGGTCACAGTCATGAACAAATTTAGGTGGACTAGAATATTTAGTTGATTGTTGTTGCATTTCATGTTGAATATAAATGAAACGACCATATAGTAGTGCAGTAAGTAATAGAGATTTGTAATTTTTAGGCAATGATAGTTTAGTGTCGAATACCACCGGCATTAACAGTCATCATAATTTACTCTTTTATTAGCTTATTTACGTTGATAATGAAACGAATTTCTTGTATTTGAATAATTTACAGCCTGCTTGGAACTGTAAATCAGTAACCTGGACCATTTTTGTTTACTACGCTACGAGTGGTAGTTCGTGTGTAAGGACCTAATATGAATGCTCAATAGTCTAGACGGAAATGAACAGAGCTGGATTTGTGTTCATCACTCATTTCCAGGATCTTACCAGCTTAACCCGATGGGCTATGACTTCACAGTTTCATAACGATATTCACTTAGACTATTATTAACAAGTAAACAATTCCGAATTATGTCTAAGAGTGCTACTACGAGTTTGGTCGGTTCATGCAATATATTTGGATATACCTGCATTGAAATACGCTTTAAAGGGGTTCGAAACGTCGACTGTTTGTAAATCGATTCCCTACATCTAACGTCGAGACTTAAATTTGAATATTCTGTGATGTTCTGTAGTCACTTTCCGTCATCACGTTTGAACAACACCGAGAGGTCAGATGATGATAAATCTTTTGATGGTAATCTGTTACCATTGGGTAAGGAATCAGTCTTGTCCTAATACTGTTTTCACTGTAGCTTACCATGTAAAATGCCACTAATCTCAAAAAATAACGTTAAACTCCAGGTATTACCATACAGTGAAAAGTAAGATAAGGTAATCAATATCTCCTTCTAGTGTGTTTATTAGAACTGTCACACAGTGAAACAGTATCATTTACTGGACAACGTTTCGGACACAATTTATCGTTCATATACATATCACGTAAATCGTGTCCAAAACGTGATCCGGCAAGTGATATTTGTTCCCTGTGTGACATTTCTAATAAACAAACTAAATTAGAATCACAACCTACCAAAGTGCTGGAGTTTTACTCCTATAATAGTGAATAAATATCTATTTCAAAACCCAATAAGAAACGTTAGCTAGCTAGGCCACATAAACAGTTAGCTCTTGCTTAAACATTGGTTTTATGCTTTCTTGGGGAACAAAGTGACCAATTTTTTCTCTTACTTATCAGCTACCCAAAGAATAGCTTAAGCAACCAATCTGTCCAAGAAATCTGTAATGGTTAGCTTACTTAGCCATTTGGTACATGCCTTACGGAGTATCGACAACTATCCTTTTTGACATAAGAACCTTATACGGTAAAAAGGGAAAACAAGGAGATGAACAACGTTAGAGACCCAATTACAGTTAAATACAAAAATCGATCACCAAACTTTATCCGTGCAGTGATCAAAAGAATCCACTATCATGACATCCAGGTCAAATTAGGAAATATGTGAGAAAAGCTTCAATGGTTGTCAGTTTTCATGACGATATCTTTTGGCACAGTTTGTTTCATCCTATTATACATGTAATCTATTCCCACTTTTTGAAAATTACTAATCGGCTCTAGAGGCTTATATAGGCTTGCTGCTGATATTTCAAAATCGAATAAGAAGCGTTTACTTGATGCCATTTCTAACTGACATTCAAATCTTCAACCCCTAGGCTCCCTGAAGGTGTCTGAATCCGAAGCTCTTTATGAATTGTGAAACAAACATTACCTCCGTATACTTACTTGCATTATCTCACTAATTCTTTTTATTGCTGTTGAATGAATATGGAATATGGTCGACAATTTCAAGAAGTGATACTATATGTGTCTTTCTAAACACCATTAACTTTTCACCCTAAAATTTCAACTATGAAAGTTATGTTCTACTTTTTGGCGACTGTATATAATAGAACGTTGCTATCTAGTGACTAAATGATAATTTCCATACTTTCGCTAAAGTTAATTTACAGCTGGAGTAGAAATTCTATGCTTTTTCTGAGATTCACTCCTGAAAACTCCACATCTGTCTTTACAGTAAATGATGATGATGTGAACCATTTTCACTGTCCAAAGTTAACTTTCTGAAAAATGATGTTGTATACAATGATCGAACACTTTTTAGTTAAAACTAAAGTTTTTTCCAGGTCTTCGTTCCCCTACCTGTATTTCCTTACAGTCATATTGTTTGACGGTGAACTATTTCAAAGACTAATCGAACCACGTAAGGACTGAGTTACTGTGACACTTAGAAGTTGGTTCTATCTGGACAGTTGAAACTGTGTGTGTCGGTTGTTGTAAGAGCTAATAAAATTATCGTTTAGCTGAATATAATTTGCTTATCTTCTACTTTCTGTTTTGTTCTATACGTCACTTAGTCTGAGTCGATTGGATTTAGTTTGACCCTACTTTAATGTTTACCCTTTTTCATTCCTCTACAAGTGAAAACTTTATTTTGAACTCTGATTTTGATTCATTATATCTTATTTGAGATCCACAATTGCCTTGATGTCCTGTGCTGATCATTTCTGGCTTTGCATTTGATTTTCTCAAGTTAATAAATTCTATCAGTCTGTGAATGAATCATACACAAAGATGTGTGTATCCAAGTAATTTTATTTCGTATTTAACCTAAGCATAACTTGTAATTACCTCTAAGTCAAAAGTAGAGAAAATGAACTGCATTTTCCGCAGTTTTTCCTCACTTATTCAAAGCCTCATTGTGTTATAAGATTTAGACCAGATCGACAGGATTTCAGTGCCTTACCTACCTTCATTATTTTGCATCCAAGTGATTCTTTACTTCAAAGTGAAATGAATATCCTATATATGGTGAATTAACCAAGAAATGAAATATTCTTATTCACCGATCCCTTTCCACATTACATTAGTCAAGCTGATTATGCGCAAGTTTATTTATTATGAATAGTTCATGATCACTTTTTAAAAGTAAAATTCGATAGTATATTTAATTTTTCATACTGATAATCCACCAAGTGTATTCAAGTAACGATATGTGAAATAAAAGGGTATGCCGAATGTACTTAAAACTGGATTGAGATTGTCAGATTCCTCTGTATTTTTTTCGGACATATAGACAAACTTAGCTTAGTTTGAAGAATGCGTTCCTCTTATAAGAGATTCGTCTTCGGATAAGCAGTTGAAGATTATCCGAATTCTAAGAAAAGATTCATTTTAGTATTGGACAGAGGTAATTCATAGACAGATATATACATTTATAGAAAACAGACACTCATTAGCGTCTCCGTGAGCAAGGTAAATAGTGAGGACTTTTCCATTATCAAGTAAAGTATTTTTAAAAAAAGTAATATCTCGACTGGTTTTACCTAACATATGTCTAAATTGTTAAAGTTATCTTTTTCCTCATTATTTTCTACAAGAACATTCAGAATTTCCGAAATTTAGGAAACCTTCTCATTACACATTAATCCACCATGGATCCCACAAGATTGAAGTTTAACTTCTTCTTAGTCTACGTCAAGTACTTTTCTGTAAAATAACGTAATTATGTAACTGATTGCTTTCATCTGTTTAAAAATGTAATCAGTCATCTTAATCAACTCTCAAGGGGAATGAAATATAATCGCAGTGCAGCTAGTGCTCTTTTGACGTTGATAAACATGATAAAAAGCGAAGATATACTCCGCTTACCATCTGCTTTAGCCGTAAGTAAAGTGGTTCACCTTTCTCTTAATACAGATGTGAATTACTAAAGGCAAAGCTGAATCTTTACGTACTTCAAAAGTTTTTGACACTGATAAAAACAAGGAACTGGAAAGACATATATGTAACTTAAGCCTCGTTTTTTGGTAATTTGATGAATTTACGAAATAATTTATTTTCATCTTAACTTACTGCGATAAATCTTTTAAAAAAAGTCACACGTCTAGTTATCTTAAAGGTACAAACTAGGTGTATAGTTTAAATTAGAAGTAATCTATTACCGAAAGGACTTACTTCACCATAGTTTTCAATGATGTCTCCATGAAGCTTTTTCCCTTGTGAACCATTAATACCAAAGCCATCTCGATCAGCGCCATAACCATAGCCAAAACAATCGACGCCAAGATCTAATGATCCATTTTCAAACGACCAACCGATACGTGCCAATCCAGAGTCTTCAACAATTCTCACTTCATAATAATAGGCTCGATCACCAAGTATTCCCTATTGTATGAATATAATTATTGGATTAAATAAATTGGATGAGATTCCTGCTGTTTTAGGAAAATAAAAGGTAATTAGTGGAAAATACATGTCAAGTTTCGTACATAATTTTGGTCATGCATTAAATTTTGTTCTGTACAATTTTGCGTTTATTTGGCTTTGAATTGTGAAAGAAAATATTCACTGGGGCCACTGGTTTAGTTTTTGAACGTGATCAAACCATATCCACTTTTTACCTAGATGTTGTGTTACATTACAATCGGAAAGTTATTCCGAAGCTATGATGGTTATAATCAACCACCTTATAAGACTGTTTTGGATAACATGAGCGTACCCATAGACTAGAAAAGGTCCTAAAAGTGAATATTTTGCAGTTATCTTTAATGTTGAATTTGAACACTTATGGATAAGAAAAAATACTTTGGTTTCAAGGGTTACAGCACTATCAGCTATAAGGGTTAAGACTATTGAACTATCTAAAATGTAACGGAATTTTGTATAACATGATAAAGTGAGTGTGACTTAACACTGATAAGGTATCAAGAAATGCATAGTGTATTCGTAATAGGGATGAAATTAAAACATAGCTATTCTCCGTACGGAATTTATGTACTCGACTATAGGTTATTCTAAAGTATACGTATATGACTACAGAAGCTCATTTCAAATTGTGGATAGTAGGAATTTATTGTTTGATTTTATCGAAAATATGCGGAAATTCAAGCTTAAATAATTGCATAGGTGTAATTTTATTTGCTATTTTTCGATGCTATAGGTAATGAAAATAGTTATGAAGTAATGAATAACGTACAGATAGCAGTGCAAAAGTACAATGTCAGTGTTTTCATTTTCCAGTAGCTATATAAATAATTAAAAATCTAATTCCCTAATAAAATTCTTAGCTATTTTATGAAGTTTTTCAGTCCTCAAAAACTGGTCCTTTGACACTATACAAGTGGTACAAGTTCCTCGCTTCCTCACAACGATACGCATCTACTCAAATATAAGCGATGGTTTTCTTCTATAAGACAGTAGCTGAGAGTGATACAAGATAATGCGGACAATTGTAATTCAGATGACTTGTCGTTTGAATGGTTGTGGAATAATAAAACTCCAAAATACATCACTCAAACAAATACTTTGGTTCGAATTAATGTGGGCTAACCAATCAGTGTCTTTCAGGAAATAAATGCAATTACATTGGATGATGAATGCAGTGTTGATAACCAGTCTCACCCTTAATGAACATATCCGACAGATGTATGTTTGTAGAAAGTATTCAAGGAATTCGTATTTCTCATTTACCTTGTCTGTTCACCTAAAAGTAAGCTTCATTTCGTCAATGTAATAAATGATATTAAATTCTTTACATAAGACAATAGCAAACTTTAACGAAAGTATCTGAAAGGTTGTTACCTAAGCCATCTTGCCCGATGTTATTAGCCTCTTGAAGCATATGGAGCAACAAAACGTTTTGGAGAAACTATTTTAATGGTGACTGCTTTCAAACTTTCCGGGCTTATTATGTAAAAAACATGCATCTTTTCCACACAGGAATTCCATCCTATTTATGCAAGCAATCACTTGGGTAAACTGTACTAATTGTTGATTATGGATGATTAAGCATCATGTGAAGATGTGATGGAATGGAAATGTATACGAAAACTGTGAGGGATATCAAGAATGCAAAGTGGGTTTTGTCTCGGTATTCCTCAACTAGTTCCACCTAACTTAATATTATGCAGAAAACGTATACTTACCTTATTTACTCGGAAGCCTTGCCATCCAGTATTTTCTACAGCCTGTACAAATCGACCATTTGGCGAAACTAACAAGTTTGTACTCGATGTTACATCATTTGGATTGACACGCCAGCCAACATTTTGATTGCAAATAACTAAAGGGCTTGGAACATGCGATACTGCTAACCAAGGTTTACCAGATAAAGCTGTGGTTTTCGGAGGGAAACTAAATGGTTTATCACCGAAATTTAATTCAACTCTAGCATTTTTAATGAAACAGCTGCAAAAAGATAATCAATTGAAAGAGTGCTAACGTAAAAAATGTCAAGAAAAGTTCACATTACAGAGAGATTAAAAACAAACAACTTCACTAAAAAGAAAACGATACTGTCTCGAATTATCATATGCAAGTTAGCCAAACAGAATGCATCCTAAACGTACAAAACTTAGAAGGGACTAAATGGTTGATATGAACTTCCTATTCATAGTACTCGGATGTAAAAGGTGACTAATGTAGTTGTTAAGACTGACATTAGAAACAATAAAAGAGCAAAACTGGTTGCGGAAAATTGCACAGACTTAAACGAAGGATAGTTGTAATTTTATATCAGCTAAAAATCCATTATTTCCTAACAAATCAATTGTTATTGCGTTAAAAGAAAGTGTAAATGGAAACTACTCCCTGCAATAAGACCGGTAATTGAATTAAAGTAGATAGCTACATATAGTAAACAACCTTTTCACTTAGAAACTCATTTCACTTCATGTCATGTCAAAAGTTAAGAAAATTAAATTCTTTGACCATAGCCTCAATTCGATTGATTTTTAGCGGTTACTATGATAACAATACAAGGTTCCATAGTAATAAACAATCAAAAGGCTCAAGATACACTGGTGATATTGATTAATTGAGTTTGACCGTCTACAACTTTTCGTATGATGTAAAAAAATCATTGTAGAAACTGTGAGTCCGCTGATGACAGGCGAAAAAGAAATTATAGTTTAATACAATCTAGTTGTTACAGTTTTATTGGATTGTCAGAAGGAAATCATAATGGTCACTAGGATAACAATTACATACATATACAATCGTTTCTAAAATGGTAGTATAATAAGTTGCTACTGCTATTGGCAAGCCAATTCTAAGAAAAAGTTTCACAGTAGTCGCCGTTTTGCAAGTAAAATAGATAAATTCAATTTCCTCTCAATTTAGAGAAAGAGATATGAACGATATATTGGGGTTGGCAATGTTTAAAACGCTGTACAATTCAAGCGAGTATAAGCCTATTAACCTTGTTGTATACAATTATTACCCATATTGGAGACCAACAAGAATGAAGACCAGGCTGAAGTCTACTTGCACTAGCATGAACAAAAGAGCTGGTTATCCCCATAGTTAAGATAAAAACCACTAGAAAGTTGGCTGGCCAGTATCATTTTTCTTTAGTCATAATTTCATATTAGCCAATATCCCATGTTTTTTACAAGAGATTATATACTATCTGCGTGGTGAATAAACGAAGGGTTGGAAACAATAACTTACCAGGGAAGAATGCCATACTTGGCGTAAGCGTCTGATCAACTTTATAGTCTGGTGTTTGCAATATTCGACCGTTATAGCTGTAGTGTATATTTACACGTTTATTATCTTCAGTAGCATCTGGATTAATTCTAAATAACATCCGATCACATCTCCTGGTACAATTGGCATTCCATAATCGAATGAGTAATTCGCATGGATGAACTTTCCACAGGACAGGGGTTGGCAGCTGATCCAGCGCCTTTCAAATGTAAATAGAATTAAATAAATAAATAATTTTTGAGATGAATGGGGATTTCAATTTAAAGGTAGTGAACATAGTGGGCTGATATCAGTTGCGGGAACCATTGAAATCCTGGGATCACTAGACAGGTGTTACGTCCTGGTATCGAACTCCTCAGCAGCCTACACCTATGACCCCGCCAGGGACCGAACCTAGGAGCTTCGGGTCCCACAGCCAGCATATTACTATTGAGCCACTGGGTTGGAATTCAGTGGTCCATATTTCCTAATTTTGACAGTCCACGATATAGCGCGACCTACATTTAATGTCATCACTGAATAAATGTCCTCATGTTCGACCTAGTTGACTCCACTGTTCACAACATCTCATTGAAACTTCGAGAATCACCTCACACTCATTGGTGACTAGCTTCAAGTGGTGATTCTTAAAGTTTCTATGAGAAGTTGCGACCACTGGAGTCAACCAAGTTGAATATGGGGACAGTTACTCAACGATGGCAATGGATGTAGGTCGCGCTAGGACGAAACAACTGTCCAGCGCTCCCAGGTTTCCAGTGTTCCTCCAAATGATGTCAGTTCATGATGAACTCCAACCTGAAAAAAATTCTAAATTTTATACTGAATCTGGTGTATTTCTATTTGCAAAGATAATTTTAGTAAATCAGGAGTTCATATGGTAAAGTAAAGACTAAACACCAACGAATACCTAAAACATTGAAAAAGACGCTAGTTTTTTTCAGGAAAACATTATATGTTCGCTGTATGTTGTGCCGCTTGATTATCGAAATTTAATAGATGGTAATTACTTCGATTAATTGTATCAAAACTTTAAGCTCATTATCTTCGACCGAATACGGTATGCAGAGAAGTTTAACAGAGTCACCAGGTGATAAATCCTTATTACATAGCACCAATCGAATTAATTTTACGAAAATAATGCATGAGATACTGAGGTTTCGTTCATTCGATAGTGAGTTGAAGCCATGAAATACCAAACATGAGTAAGATTTCGACCTAGAATATATTCCTCAGATCTCTTTTCCTCAGCACCTTTTGAAAAGTGATTCACTTTAGTCAACACTTGTCATATTCCCTTGCTTGAAGTTACCATGCAGCTGCCAAGTTGGGATGAAGTGTCCAGTGTGCATGTTATGCTTCAAAAAACTGTCTACTCCAACGAATGAAAACATTTTTACGGCTTACGAGGATGTGTTATTTAATGTGATGGTAATCCAAGGAGGCCACATAGTTTGTCAGTTACCACTAGAATTACTAAAAGTTGCTACGAATGAGTCAATCAAAAAAAAATCCCTGAAAACTGAAATTTCTTCGAATTATTCTGTTACTGAGAGAGGTTCTAGCAAACTCCGAGAACATGTATCAAATAGGGCAGAGAATGGAGACGATGATAAAATTCAGGAACTTCTACAGGCCTTGAGTGAGAAAAATGAGTATGCGTTCTGCATGCATCGCACGCTTATAGAACTTAATACCATGATCGAGGACTGGCATGTACCAGCTCTAATCATCTGGTTACCAACGACATATAAGGATGAATAAATTATGAATGCTTGGTATTTATTGGTTTGTACCATCTCAAATGCCAACCGGTAAACAATAAGCTATCAAAAGATGAATACAATACCCAAAACTCACAGCATTGCAACTACGGTGTCATGAGATATGACAGATGAAGGCAAACGGTTTGGGGAGATTACATACTTTAATGATGACGGTTCTGGAAATATTACTTGTATTTAAGGATACAATTGAGCAATTTCGAAGTTATTTGTAAAGTTTTGAGAAAGAAAGAGGATTTTCTCTAGTTGCGTACTTTTCCTAACTAAGAAGACTGCAGTAAGTGTTCTGAATATGTTCCAAAAATGCCTCGAATTCATCAAGTGCCCGCCGGTGTGAGTTAGTAAGATAGTGCAGGTTTTCTAACTGATAATCACTAGTAATCACAGACCGCCGCTAATGTGGCTAACAATCTACTGCAGTAGTGCAGATATGTTCACTGTCTATTATCTTTAAAATTACGGATGCTTTATTACCATTCAGTTATCTTTCTCTTTTATTTCAGCCTCTCATTTCGCCTAACTTTCGCATTTTTGGTCATTTCCCCTTTTAGTGCTGTTAAAAACATATGAGACAATTCGTGCACCTCAATGTGTGGCTTAGTGTTGATCTAGGTATCGGTATATTTCTGTACATAGTTGGGCTGTGGACTACTGCTACGCTTTTAGACTTCTAAAATTTATTTATTCATGACATTAACACCACTGATGGCTTATTTCTTTAGGACCCTATCTTATCATCAAATATTAAATTCCTTACTGCTTGAGAAGGATAGCTTCAGGAAATCTCACGAATATATGTATATATTCATCAAAAGTCACTAAATTTGCTTTCTAAATCTAGTTTCTGCTTTCAACGCAAACCAACCATTCTTTCAGTTGTGAAAAACCGAAAACATTTGAATGAATGAAATAATTCCTTGATGCGAATTGATGTCGTGCTCAGTTCATCAACATAAATCCTGTGATTTTGGAATCAAGCCTACAATCTTGATACATTGATGGCTTTCAAAAGGAGCATTTCATAGCAGATAAAATGTTTAGAAACGGATCTCAAGTAGTTTTTTTCGTAAAGCTAAAGAGTACAAACACCTTCACTAGACATTACGAACATACAGTAAGTTTTATTTTGAATCATGTAATATATTTTCTAACCTTTTGATGGACAAATCTAGAACTCACATGTAGCTTTTTGTTTTTGCAGCTTCACTTATAGGGTTTGTTAATCCATACCGTTTCAAATGGCTATTTTAATGTTAATTCATCGTTCTAGTTAAAATGAGCGATCTTCACCTACCTCATCTTTCACTTTATACTGCTTTAGTTAAAATTTGTCACTTTTATGTCCATAAATACCAATAAACAGAACTAAAAATTACTTTTAAACTCGAAACGAACCTGTTTCATCAGCTCCATAACCAAACCCTTTAGAATCTGTGCCAAGTATGAGACTTGCATCATTAGTGACCACCCTAGACGTATTTGACCCTCTTCAAGCATACAGGCTTCATAATAAAACGCACCTGGCCATTTCAAACCCCAATTCGTTCGACAGCCCTAAAAATAGGAAGTTAAACACTTAACATTAGTGAACTCAAGACGAAAGAAATAACTCAATAACTATGCTTTAATTCTCTGAAAATATGAGAAATCATTTATGAATAAAAAGCTGTCTTAATGTTAGGGGGTGACAGTCACTGCGTTATTCAGCAGTGTTGCATCACTTTGGTAAGTGGTCACATCGCAACACTTGGTCGATAGACTTCAGTACTAAGCTAGAAGGACTAAACAGCGAAATCGGTTACCCACTGGTCACAGATGTATGTATAAAATTTTTAGTCATGTCAGTCATTCGTTTATTAAATTCTAGTGTTTATGTGAAAATAAAGTTAACAAATCACATTCACGGCCTCCTAACTGACTTATTCCTCAATTATTTGTTCATTGAGTTCCAATAAATAACGTTTTGTCAGTTGGGTGTGTTTGGCTAAAAGAACACACCATAAACCCTCCTCTTCCAAGATATGCTCTTCACTTGGTAAATAATAGAAAGAACTAAAAGTCAGAATAATTTATAGAGACTTAATTTTACGATTGCTGGTAACTTTAACTGACTGATCAAATGGTGACTAACCAACCAGTAGGTGTTTGTTATAAAGTATCAGGTATAGAAACGAGAATGACGAGAAAACCTACCTGCCATTCTGTGTCTGGCATTGCAGCTATGTCTGTCCCATCAATATTTCTTCCCAATCCTTGGGTACAGTCAGCTGCTGACATTTGCCAATGATCTTCTGGTAATGGTACTCGAATTGGGCCTGGTTTACGATATGCTGGCGGTAAGTTTTGTAAAACATCTACGTTCACCGAGTTAGCAGCTAAGGGAGATGGTGATCCAGGTATTATATAGTATTGATCAGGTTCTTCTCCATAGGCGACTGGTGCAACACTTCCGGACACTGATAGTAAGGCAAAATAAATGAGGACTGAATTACTTTTTATCTTGTATTATCACTTTATATGGATAAATATATATTTATATATAACAACCAGCTATAATCAGTAATCGATATTTGACTAGTTAACATCAAAGGTCGCAAGTATATGTATCCTGAAAATAATAAAAGTAAATTCATAAGGTGACAGCTATAAACTCACCTCCTTCACAGTAGTCTACGCTTTGAGTAAAATGCTTGAATTCACCATTAGATTTGCTGTTTCATTTGTAAAATAAAGCAGTGTAATAGTCTTAGCTAATTTACTTGCAATGACGTCATTCTCACAGTGAGCGAATGAGGATAGTTAGCCAATTATTTATTTTTATGTATAAAAAGAACAAGATTTTTATCAACGAAGAAACATTTCTTTGCAACGATTTCATTGTCATTTTGACTATCCGAGATAGCCATTATTTGGCAGGTTAGTATTTATACTGGGTGACGATTGAAGGTGGAATGGAAATTCAGGTCGCTGCCGATTCGAACCAGTAACCACCGGGTTACCGGGCCTGGTGGTCACCCAGTATAAGCGACTTCATTATCTAACTGTACAGTCGTGTCAATGATGGTTCAGATGTTAGATAAGTGCAATAAACAGGTGCACAGTCAAAAATACACATGAAATAAGTGGTAGTGGAAGGAATAGATAATGGGATAAATTAATTTCATGTGGTGAAATAACAGTCAAGTGCTGTCAAAGAAAAGTAAAAATGATGACAAAAATGATATTTAAACTGAAGTATACGAAGTGAAGGAAATGAAATTGAAAAACTAACCAAAATGAATTGTTAAAGTCAAGGTAGAAAAAAGGGGTTTGACAAAACGTTTTAGAATGAATAGTTTTGGTTTTTGTTCATGTGTAGCAGGGGCTTTAGCTGTGCATAAGTGGTGAAAACGTAAACCTTTGGGGAAGTTAAATTCGACTTTGTAAGTTGCTTTAAAGGATAAATCTCGAAGAGCTGAATGACCTAACTCCATTAGGAGTTTAAATAAGGATGAAGTTGTTTTTCTTCCCTCAACTTTGGTACACCAAACTGGGTAGTGTTCTGCAGTGCGTTTCTGAAGGGCCCACATGAAATGTCCAATATGGTCAGCTCCACAGAAGCACGTGAATTTTCAGATAAGTATAGTGGCAACCTAACCTTCATAAGTTGTCAGATCGAATGACAGCTACAAAATCTTAGCCTAATTTTAACAAAATGAAAGGAATTAGGGATAAAATTTGAGAGACGGTTCTTCTATACCTCAACTGTGACGTCCTATTTGAATAGCGAATTCATGATTAAAATTTCCTTTGGAACTTTAATAATGTGAGGAATAATTCATTTCTCTAAGTTTTTATCAATAAATCTTCTAAGGTATACACTATATAATGGTGTTGTTCTAAGAGTTTTCAACATCCTCCATTTGTTCTGAGCAGATTTTATGAATTCTGCAACAGAGTAAGTAAATGAGATTTCTTTTCCTTGTAAGAGGTGCTCAACTGCTAAAGTTGGTGAACTTTCCAGTCCAAGTTGTTTGAAGACAGACTAACCTTTGGAGTCAGCCATCATCTTATATCTTTCATGTAACGTCTAGGAAGCGGAACACTGAACTTAACTCTTCTTCTATAATGAATTTAATAGACAGGTGACAATTATTAAGTCTTCTGAGCAGCTCGTCCAATACATACATTCCGTCACGAATAAGAAGAAAAGCATCGTCCACGCACCTTCTGTGTAGATGAAATTGTGAGATTATTTATTTTAGTGGCTCATTTCTGGCTTTATCATGAAGATATCAGTCAGCAAGGGGCCTAGTGAGAACTCCATTGAGATCCAGTCTGTCTGATTATAAATCACATCATTACATCTGAACTGTAAATTAAACGTGCATCACAATACCAGCTCCATTAAGTAGCTCGTGAGTTATTCAATGTTAATATTATTGGGATCAATGCAATCATATAGATAGCAAGGAGTTTCAACAAGCTGAAAAAGAAATATTTCTTCGCCGATAAAAATCTTGTTCTTCTTATTCATGAATAAATGAGTACATTTCATCAGGTAAAAAATTACTTTCATTTTACGATAATTACAAACTACACACCTATACAAACTCAGCTAATGCTCAAAATGTCTAAATGTTAGTAACACTATACTGAGTACTCTTGCTGTAATGTGAAAGCAAAAAGGATTATGCCTTTATGAGTAACTGTGGTAGAAAGTTCATCGTTACGTAAATGAGGCATATAGCAGGCAGCTTGGACGGTGATTTCTACCTACCCTGTTCTGCCGTTCAACTTGTCTTTTCGAAAAAACTCAATGAGCTTACATAGCACGAAACAGTGCGCGCAAGCAGCACTCAGTTTGCTGATAAGTTTCCAGTGATCACCTGCCTCGTTATGATGCGGGAACTTCTTAACAATAAAAGATAACAGTGTCAGTTCGCTTATTCGTTATGCAACACAGGGAAACCAATATTTACTTAAAGGCGCTTTACAATCCACTTAGTGTCCCCTTTGCATGTCAATTTAACTCCATGTCTTAGTATTCTGGTGATGTTTAGTTTAATTCTTTGCATTCTGTTGTTATGATAATAATGGCAAAAGCGTCTGGATATCCATCCGTAACAAGTACTGAATCATTGGAAATTATTCAGAAAATCCCACTCATATGCGTGCACTCACGTGAATACGAGTACAAATTAAAAAAACGTTATGCCAGAAAGTTTCGCTGAATGATATATCAAATAAACAAACTAATGTGGTTCATCCATCCTTACCTAAGATTTCACTTCTTTCCTTTGTAACGTTGATATAATTATTCAAGTTTTCGGTAATGTCTGCTGAAATAAGGTTTTTTCAATCAAGGCATAAAGAAATGTGATTCACTGAATAAAATCTACAGCATTCATTGAGAAATTCAAGCCTATAAGTGCGAAACTATTACTGATAAGATCATAGTATCACAGCCAACGATTAGGTGAGATGACATAGAGCAAATTCAGGTTAAGAACATAATAGAAGCCAGCAATTTGTATCGCGTCAAATAACGGGGAATTTCAGGGTTAAAAAGAACAACCACCAAAATATTATAGAAATACTGTACAACTATAACAAAGGTGTTATAAAGCGAAATGATGTGGTCGAAACGAAAGTCTAGTTCAGCAAGCGTAGTGAAAAGACAAAGATTATCTGAAACACACAGTGTAGTAGTGTTATGCATTTCAAACAATCTGATCACGTTTTCGCTTGTCAGACTAATCACATGGAAATTTAAATGTTCTCAATATGTTATTAGAAAAAATAACAATTTCAACGAACAAATTTATTGTTGGTGACATCATCCTCAGCAGCTCTACAACTTAATTTACACATAGTTAGGGTGTGTAAAATGTCGATATTTGCTAATTGTTTGTTGGTAGTTTGTGGTCATGAATATAAGAATATAGGAGTGAAAACTGCCTACGAAATATGAAAATATTTGACCGCGTGAGTAAATGTGAATTGAAATCAAGGAATAGAGAATTCGTAACAAAGTGAGTGGATAGTTCTGAATGAGAAAGGGACTGAGAAAGTTGTAACTAAGTTAAACGAAAATTTTTTACGCAATAACAATATGAGAATCAAACGATTAGTTAGGCTTATGAATGGGGAAGTTTCAGAGCTAAAAAGAGAAAGGCCAGTGAGAGAGAGAGAGAGAATCACAAATTTGCTCCTAGACAGACAACTCTGGTTTTCACCACACTACCAAAGTTTCAGTAGTGCAAAGTCAACGTTCTCACATACCTTTTGAAAGATTACATTAATTTTGTTGACTACAGTACATGAGTCGTATGGGGTTGTCTTCACTTTCAACCAAACGTTGCAATATGGAGGTGGGGACTGATCTGTGTTGTACTTTATTGAGCCATATTGGGAGTTGTTGTCTTCGACGTTGAACAATCTGTCTCAGTGTCTGGCTTATGTATCTAGCTCCACAGGAACACCTGTGGACAATTACTGACTAACAAACACTGACAATTTTTATGCACATTAACTGTACTGAAATGAGACTACATAGTTGCTGAGGATAATATCCCCGAAAACAAAATTGCTTGCTGAAGCTGAATTCTTTTGTGAAAATTGGAAAAAATTGAGTTCATTTAATCGTAAACATAAGAATAAGAAAAGCAGAACCAAAACAAAATATTCAACTGTGAGGTTGATGGAGATTTATTCATTAAAATTTGACATTCATCATGGACTAACATAATTTAGAGAAATGTTGAAAACCTCAACAGTGAAAGTTCATGCGTGCTGATGAGTCTCATACTAAAACGAAACAGCTGTGCTCCTAGTTCTCCAATGGTTCCTTAACTGATATCATTCCATGATGAATACCAACTTGAGAACCCCAAAACATAGATCACATCGTGCTTGTTATAAAAATCAAAATCACTGCTATCGAGGTAGGTTCAAAGCAAGGTAAAATGTTTGTTGGATACTTAAGGAAGTTTTAAATTTACTTTTATGAAATACCTTGACTGTTTTCATACCTACCCTACGGTTAATTTCTGGCATATGTTCGGCAACAGATAAAGATAGTTTTTCAGACCCACAGTACCAATTGAGGTCATCTGTTCTCAAAACCACACGATCCTCAACTGCATATAATGATTACTCCTCCATATGTAATTTCACATGCATAAATGTACTCTTTCAGTACACTGTTTAACGTTAGACCAATTAGTTGATCTAAATTGTAAAATTTCATGTGAACGGGTGACTACGAACTGACTGCTTCTTATTCTTTGGGCTTCAGAGCGTATCTTTAGTCGTCTCATCAGTAGACTAGGTGAATTCATCATCACTTACACCACAAAAAGTGAAGTATTTTCAACTTGCAGGAATTACTTCCTTAAGCCGTTTGCCAACATTCGGTGTTGTCGGTTTCCAGGTAGAAATGATGTTTTTTCTATAGCGCGCCAACCTATTGTGACTTGCCTCATCAATTTCAAGTTTTTGGTCTCCTTCTGTACTTCGTATACTTGGTCGATGTATCGGTGTGTATCAACTACTGTTTGACTAGAGTAACACATTTTCAGGAATTCTGTTGTATTTTCCGAGTTTGCATGTTTTAGGATTTCATTGTCATTCCAATCGAACCTAACATAGAGCTCATTTACACCCACCAACGTTAATGATAATACATCACATTATTTGACTGCTAATTGATGCCCATAAACTCTTTGAGTTATTCGACAACTAGATACAGTAATATGGTTATGCTGATAGTCTTTGCAACTAACTTTGTAGACAATATGCGTCTTTTCTTCTTAGGGTAATATATTCTTCAGGTTGAACTGGATACACAACAGGTAGATGATATATATATATATATATATATTGTTCGAAATACATAGCACTGCAGATATATCACATATTTCAGATAGTCTTTATCTTCTCATTGCGCTGTCAAAATTTATGAGGGGGAAAAGTAGTTGTAAATGAAGTGGAAGACTGACCTCTTACCTCTCAGAATTACAAATATCAAATTGAGTGTAACGATGACTGTCTTGGAAGTATAGATTTGCTGCATAGTTACGTATCATGTCACAGTGAAGAAAATCGACACGATGCGCAAAGTGATTCTGCGTTTGCCTTGGTGATCCATGAAAACTGGGAGCATTTTCTGCGCCAGAGTTTGTGGTGCGAGCCTAACCGAGCATGACGATGGGCCTACCATGGCCCTGCTGGAAATCAACCAATACACTATCAAGTTGACTTTGCAACAGCTATAGTCTATGAGATCCATATCTGTCTTATGAAGGTGAGTTATATTCGGTACGGAATGCCAGTATCGTTAGACCTAGCTTTGGCTGTACTTCCGTAACCCGATGGGAGCATTAATTGTGAATCTATCGGTATTACAGGTTCATGGACCAGGTTCCCTAGAGAGATGTCTTTCGGGCTGTATTCATTCTGCTAGGTTATAAAGATTTCACTCAGATGCATCCCACACACATCTGGTCACGGATAGGTGAAAACCATCAACGAACCGATTGCCCAGAGACTGTTGATGTGTTGAGGTCTGACAGTTTGGAGGCCTCTTAAATAACACTGGTCAGTTTGATAGGCGTTAACACAATTCTCTGGCAGGAGTGTTTCTTTTCATAAGGACGCGTTTCTTAGATGATTCCGGCTGAACGAGGGGACCGACCCATCAGGATTGTGTTGGAATGTTCATAGATACGAAGACGTGCCTGAAATATGGAGCTGAGTCAGAAACTGGAGTGAAACCTAGGAGACTGATCATTTGCCCCTCAGAGTCACAAACAATGAGTTGAATAGGTTTGATACTTTAGCATATAGCATACCTTAGGTACACTTTCGTTTCGATTAAAATCCATTTTATATCCCATGCCTCTTAAATGTCTTTCAATGGTGAACACGTATGAGAAGGACAAACCGTCGCCGCTGGACACCTCTCTGAGCACATATCAATTCATCTGCTTCTATGGAGCCACGTACATTGGCTGTATGTAGAGACAGGTTATCCAACTCGATACAGAAACCTTCCAGCACGACTTCGTAGAGGTTAGTGTTGATCATATATATAGCTGCATGTCAAAACATTCAGTTAACACCGGATAAATAGTTCAAGAAGATTCATTTACTGTAGTCTACAAAATAAACAAAACTGTGTTTGCCCTTTGATTGTTTCTGCTGTATTAAAGAAAATAGTTTAGTGAAGTTAGGAAAGTAACAGAAAATCAGCGGAAACTATGACTTCTAGTTAAAAAACTGAAGTGTCTTTACATTTAATACAGTTAAATCATGCAACACAGAATTTGACTTCAATTATGAAAATAAAGTTTGTATCATTAAATTAAATGTGATAGACAGAAGGGAATGGAATGACTTTTGGTTGAAACAAAATTGTCTTGGACGGTTTTAATATCTTTAATTTATCTTTTAAATCTTTCATTATACACAACGCGTGGAGTTCATCAACACTGATCAGTCCTCACTAACGCATACAAAGCAGAAGGCTAACCGAAATCAAATGCACTATACATGAGGTTCAAATTAGATGTCAAACGTAAAATTTCTAGAATATAAGTGGTTGCCTACTTTCAACGAGGTAAACAACAGATATCGGAATATTTTCTCTGAAGCCTAATTTCGAGAAGTGAAAGAGTTTTACGCTGTGCTAATACGATAGTTTCTTCAAAAACTTATAAAGTTTCGGGCAAACTTAACTTTCTTCTGAAACACAGTCCATTACCTTACAAGTTGACTTGGTTTAATTTAGTTTCCACTGAGTTTATTCTATGGGTCTAACAATAACAGTTAAAAATAGTAAAAAACATATAAAACTAAGGTCAAATTCTACCATCAGTAGATAGTTATCGCCTTCAGTTAGCCGCAAACTTATGGCATGCATAAGAAAATTTATCAAGATGATATACACTGTGTTAAACTAGAAATTAGTTCACCTGAGCAAATTTCAATAGAGTTGTGCGTAAAAATGCAAAGAAGAAATCTAGTTTGATATATATATATATATATATATATATATATATATATATAATTGTTAGAATGGTTAGTCACAGATATACTATTATTATTAAAGTAAGTTCGTGTGCTATATACCAACATTTCAAACCAACCTACCTTGATTCCGTGAATGTGGTGGACTAGTTGAAGGGGTTTTAGCTTATAAGAATAAACGAAGTGTACGGTAATGCACAAGATATAAGGAAATAATCTACTGAAGTTAATTTGTTACAAATAATCTATATATTTGAAATGTGACGCTCATATATGAAGAATACTGTATGAGAACACTGTAATCGAACAATGCCTTCAAGAATACTGTAGATATACAGGTTATTTGGTAAGGACCAGCGGAATGCTAAACTTTTAGTCTCTTCCCTAAACCATTTGCTTTCTTTCCTTCTGCTCATCAATTTTGAAAATAAACAAAATTCCGAAGTATAAGAAGGATAAAATACTCTAGTAACTACTGAAACAAAGAAATGAGATGCGGTCTGATTTCTGTTAAGTTGGAGGTTTCAACAGTGTATTGCACTTCTAGGCTACAGATCACAGACTGCAGAACTAACCTGGTAGTTTTCAATGGAAAACCCGTTAAAACTGAAGTTGAAAAACTACTCACACTTGAGAAGTGTCATTGCTGATCATGCAATTATTAGGTTATTCGTAAATCACTTGCACATTTTGTGCATTGCAAGTTAGTTCAAGTCAACTAACCTACTTCATTCCATTCAAACAGTCAACTTCTGTCAATATAGTTCATTCAGGTGTATTACCAAATATTCGTAAGTATGTAATTAAACATCAACTAGCAGTTAGGCGTCATGACATTTCTTCACTCATATCAATGTATATGAACAACTAAAACTATGAGTTTGACTGGTAAAATGTGGAAATCCTGGGTAGAGGAAATAAAAAGAATGCCAGAGAACTTTTAGAAGCTTGGTATTCAAGTCAGTCAGCGATCAACAGACATATTGACACTGACCCAATCTACCAACAAATAAGAAACAGCAAGAAGGTTAAAGTTCATGTCAGCAGAACAACCAACCGAAATATATATGAAAGCAATGACAGGACTCTGACAGAAACAAACAATCACACATAAATCCAGCTAAGAGAACACGATACCATCGAAATCTTCCTCTTGAGCTATAAGGATTCTCAATCATCTTAAAATATGGATTAAAATCTTCGGTAAAAAATTATGAGTTCCACACCGGGTAAGTAAATAAATTAAAGAAGAGGTGGGCTTTATGTCAAACAAATACTTTATCTCTTCAGAAGAATATATATCTTACAGAAATTCATATATTTTGGTCTGATATCAATGTAACTTCTGTACAGTTCAAGTAAAACTATTCGGTGATAACAGACTGTCACTTAAAACTGCTAAAGTGAGTTCATTGGAGAAACCGGGCTGGCAACTTATCAGAACATACTATATTTAACTTTGATGACACTTTTTCAAGACATTTCCAAAAATAATGGGGACCAAGTGAAAAGTGATATTAAATATGTTTCATTTGTATAAATCTTAGTGTGTTTAAAATTTCTACAAATATAACTTATGATCAAGTCTAACCAACTCATAAAGGTACAAGATCAGTGAGTGATTTCTCATCTGTCGAAACACATTCGGTTTTGGATTGTACTATGAAACTGGGTCAGTAAATTGGTGTTAAATGGACACCTAAACATTTTTTCGAAAAGTTGGTATTTTTTAAAAACAATCTTTCACGTCAAATAACTACTTGTATAAAAGAATTTACAATCCCAGTACAACCACTCCAATGGAAAGATGGGTATTTTAGTATGTTGACACATTTTTATTCACAACTTTTCGTTCCTAATTAAGTACAGTTACTGACTTCCTAACTTAAAATAAATATGAGAGTAATGTATTTTTGAGGTGAATGAGGATTTAAATTTGAAGTAGTATTCATCCTGGACTGACATCGTGCCACATATTTCACAACTAAAGCTCAACAGTTTGGATCACTTAAGAGTTACATAATAAACCCTTTCACGTAAAGTCCCGTCTTGAAGTCATGAGGTTGTTTAATTAGTCACAATAGACTGTATTTTTGTCTCTTTTTCGCATGAACAATTCAGTTTAGCCAGAAGGAAGTAAATTAAGACCTTAATTGGATCATTGCAGTTGTTTATGAAATATCAGTTAAGAGAAAGGTAGGTACTTCTTTCAATTTTCAGGCAGTTCAAAACACTAGTCCAGCTTTGTCTTACTGCATGATCTTACTCTATCAGTTCAAAAATAAAGTTATTTACTTTGAGATTAATGGGAACTTTAATTTTGAGTTAGTATTCATCACGAACCGATATCATTCGGAAAACCTGGGAGCACTGGACAGCTGTTGCGTTCTAGTAAGGTATCCTCAGTAGTACCTATCCAAGACCCCTGATGGATACTACCTCAAAATTAAAATTAAAATTCATCTCAAAAGTACATTACTCTATAGTGCTGTATAGTTCTAATGAGAAGCCGTGACCTGTGGGGTCAACCAGTTGGAAGGGAAGTGGATGCCATCTAAAGACCTTGGGTGACAGTCGCATTATACAGCGAGTTGATAGAAGTTGGAAACTGTGAACTATTGGTCTTCGACCCAGTGTCTGAATGGTTAGCGCATTCGCCGTCAAAATTGAAGGTCATGACTTCTATTTCTAGCTGGATCGTGGATCCACACTGCTGAAAAGTCTCATACTGGGACAACGATTCCCCAACTGATGCCATCCCATGATGAATACTACCTCATAATGTGAGAGTGTTATAAGGAAGTTGGATTGGTACTATTTAGCTTATGTTGTTGAGCATGCTACTTACTGAATCTTTTGAATAATTGTTTTTAAACATCCGGGAAATTGATATATTGTAATAGTCGAATGGTTGGAAGGTAGACAATCGGTGTAATCTTTGAAGTTTTCAATTTGATTAAAAAAGCGGCGCATCAAGCAGTGAAACAGACTAAAACTGAACTTCGAGCGGTTATTATGACTAATGAGTTTTTTGGTATGACTGGTCTAATCACTGTTTCTTCACGTATTTATAGATATTAGAATACTTCTAACGCTTATGCTGAATTGTTGATATACTTGTTAGTCACATCCTCAATACTGATTTAATTTATTCATCAGAATTTTGAGACCACGTAGATATAAGTAACTTCAGTCTCTAGTAAGCTGACTTGTGCTTATTTGTCCTTTGAAAGAAGGTATGGAGTACAGTATGGATCTATCAGCATGGTCACTAGACCAGCTGCTAGTACATCTTTGAGGCACGTAGCATCCTCTGACTTTGAATGTGGACACTAAATGTGACAAATATGAAAGTTGTAAGTTCTTTCAAGTAATAGTTATTATGGAGAGTTCAGTCCGTTACATAAAATCTCTTGTTTCACCCATTAGTTCCTTTCTAGGACCGTTTGTAGACACTAGACCAATTTGGGCATCAGTGCAATACAACCGGTTTCAATAGCTAGAGAAAAATTCTGTGTTTGAGTGACAGTTTACACTTTCAGCCCCAGATTTTCTTACAGTGACAATACTTATGATTTGAACTTTATGAAAAGAAGGCTTTTACTGGAAGCTAATAACATGACAGTGGTTAAGAAGCCATAAGTATCGAATGTCGTATCCGATAAATGTGTTACCGAACAGACTGTCTATAGACTGGTAAACACCATAATCAACCAACCCTACCTCTTCTAATAGGCACGAAAAATGATCCTAAGATACTCAACAAAGTATAACTAAATATTATTTGATAAATTATTTAGATAGAAAACTGATCATTATTGGATGACATTAAGGGGCACCTTAAATAAACGATCATTCACATAAAATATATAAAGGACAAGTAAATCTATATAAATCGATATAGTTTCATGAGAGGTAAGTCAGTAAACCAAGCAATAGAAGACAGATAATATTGATTAAGGCTGTTTACAATGCTGCCCAGTTTTATTGGGAAGCATAACCACTTACTGTATTGAGGTGGTTTTCTGTGAGTTTGTACACGTTTGATTGGTGGTTGTTGTCGTGGGATCCACTCTGAACTTGGTTCTCTTGAGTAAGCATCAAATGTTTTACTTGGAAAATGATATTTTCTCATACTAAAGGCTGTTGTAAGATTAGGTCTCTGTGGTCCAGGTATATCACGCAATCTAACAGTTGAAATGGAATATTCAAAATAAAAGAAACCGTAATCATGTCAATAATTTAACTGAACAACTTGCCAATTAATCATTCCGTATTGCATTCTTCAAAATGAGTATTCTAATGTTTTAGACAATATTTCGATGAGGTGATTACTTTGTCATATGCTTGAGTATGATATAATTATTTTATGCTTTAAATTTTCGCAGACTTCACTGTATAAGCAACTTCCAAAATAAGATTACCGAAGAAATGTTAAGTTATAAAGTAGAAATTAAAAAAACCAACTATTAGTTTTTTTACTTCCGTTTTTGTTTTCAGTTAACTGAATTCCAACTTCAAAAAACAGTAAAATTCTAATTTAATGAGAAAGAAGAAAAACTGGTGATATGGCGTACATTGATGAGTTTTAGCAGTTCAGAAAGTTGTTTGATCCTTTCTCGAGAATAATTTATGTGCTTTCAATAGCATTTAATATAATGGTTAACCACAGAGTTATACACATTTTTAAATAAGACGTAATGAACTGCTTTAAAGCAATCAGTTCAGCTGCGCTTGTCTAATAATAGTGAATGTGTTTTAATGAATAGCAACTGTCATAATATCTGGGTTCTGATATCCAATAACTACCTTCTGAATAGAATATTACTTAGTATCTTGTCATCGGTTAAATAGTGAACTTTGTTCCGGTTTTAACTGTATTACTGCCAATTAGTTGTTGTTTGATGTACAGCCTAACCTAGAATAAATAATGTAACATGTCACCTCAGCACTGTAGTGGAAGTCGGACGAACAATTTATAATCTTTATCCAGAGGTTGATATTTGAACAGGTTTATTACTTTAGTTTTTTAAAAGCAGTCGGCAGGTTAAAAGCAATATATATATATATATATATATATATATATATATATATTGCTAAAGGTTTCTTAATTAGTAAATCCAATAGACTGATTCATAGTGAGTTTTCCCTCATATTTTACCTCACTAAGAATAACAATAGTTAATTCAACTTAGTACATTTTTAAAGTTATTTGTACTAAAATAGGTTTTTAATTAGTTTTTAGGCGACCACTATATTTGTATTTTTAGAAAAATCTGAATAAAGGCGGATAGTAATCACTGATCCTATTTTTACTGTAGTTTACTAATATACAAGGAGAGCAGTGTATCAAAATAACTTGTTCCCGATGATTGGTTGAGAAACTTTTGTTCGCGTCTGACTTCATCTAATCGATAGAAAACGTTTTTTCTTTAAAAACAGAAACTACTTATTATGGCTTACGCCCTAGATTGTGGGCAGTTAATCAATGTGTTTTACATTTTGTTGTGATGCAATATGCAAAAAAAATGTTACTTTTCAGTGGCCTACCTCTTTTTTGACAATTCCTAGTCCTTTTTGCAACTAAAGTTTATTTGGTAATTCTTATTACGATATCAGTCTCTTTAAAATACTGCTATATATTGGCTTACTGAAACTGAGTGTAAGTTTGTTTACGTCTGGGTACATGGAATTATTTTGCAGGTAGACGATATGTCAAGGCCATTACTAACTAGCTTAGATAGCCTAGCACATCACTTGGCTGAGATCTATATTAAATACTATACGGGGTTGGGGAAATGACAATTTTTCATCAATTTCTGCTTTAAGTGGAGATTTGAGGATGTGAATGAATAATGTCTACAGCCACCTGATTCTCAGGAGAATCAAGTATGCTATTAGTGGCAAGGTGCATTATGGTTGCAAGTGGAAAATGGAAATGAAACTGATCTCTATTCCAAGTGGGCAACTTAGTATAGAAATCATTACTACCATCAGCTGACCAACCAACTGACAACAGCATGTATTATTGATCTGGAAATGTGAATCATGAAACTTAAAATAGACAAATGGATGACAGCTACCTGAGTAAGAACAGATAAGAATATAAAGTAGTCCCAAGATTTAAATGTTTGTCTTTGAAATCAGACAGTCAATCAGCTATATACTGGGAAATTTAAACCACATTTAAGGCTTTAAGAAGCATAGGGTTTACACTCCAGCGGTTCTGATAAAACCGTTCTGATAAGCCAGTGTGCCAGTTAAGAGGTAATACAGAAACATAAGTGTAGGGCTCTACATTTCAGCTCACGAAATATTTGCCGTGTTTCCGACGCCAGTGAGAGATATGAACTGATTCGCCAAACTTATTCACCTGCTAATGTAAAGCAGACTATTAATGGTGCACCGTAATATTACCAAAGGAATTTCACATGCATATTTCCGTTCATCAGACTGAAAAGAGCAAGAACAAACATTGTAGAAGAATAACATGAAGTCATTTTATCATTTCAACGGTTCTTGTCAGCTTCTGCAAACGGAGACAAAATATTTGCATTCTTCTGTTCAGTGAGATCATTCAAAGTAGGACAACGTTATAGCTAATTAAAGAAACTACGCAAGTTGAAATGAAGCCAAAAAGTCATAAATGTATGTCGTATTAGGATGAGAATTGTCGCAAAAGCTGAATGATGACAGAAAAAAAATACTGTAGAGTCGAAAAGAAGAGACTGCGTAAGGTGCTGAGTAGACAAGTTAGTAATAACAGAATAGAAATTAGTGGATAAAAATTACAGTCCATAGTGAACTGAAAACCTAACATGAAGATAATAACGTAAGCAAATGAGTATAAGGTTAAGGAATAAGGTTACTACGGAATGTAAAGATTGGACATGGATTCTATTTGAACACATAAACCTGGCGTCAGAAGTTTAATTGCAGCAGTTTCAGAAAAGTGAAGACGATTCGCACTGTTCGGTTTGTTGGTTATTTTGAACGGTTCCAAAGCGTCTGCTTGATATCTTGTGTCTATTTGGTGTTTAGCGATTGCACTATTGAGAGTACTTGATCTTCTCAATGATGAGGTTTTCAGAACATATTTAAAATGTCGAAGGCAAGCCCTTCTTTCTGTTCTCCCAATGTAGCTGCTTCGGTAGATACACGTGAACTGGTATACACGTTCGCTGGTAATTGCAAAGTGCACTTATGTGTTTTGGTTGTACTAGCGAGCAAGAAGTTCAAAGTAGGGGAACTGGCTTTGTTGTGAGAAATCTCCTGGCCAACGTCGTAAGTAGTCTCTTGTTTGTCGTTGCAGTTTAACCATTTTTGAAGTCAGCGGAATGAAGGACGGCTTTTTACTGACTGTTATTTTCTCGATTTTACTGAATTACCTTCTGCTGTATTTGTTGATGAAGCTTTGTGGGTATCCATTTTCCTTAAGCTACTTCTTGAGAAGCAATAATTCCCCCTCAAATCTATCCAGTGTGCATATTTCTTGTGCTTTACGGAACAGCGTCTTAACTAGTGTTTATTTATAATTTACTGAAATTAAGGTAGTTATTCCGCATGTTTATCCGGTTATAAGTCTTTGAAGTGCTTAATCTGTTCTGCCTTGAATGGTGATATCCAGAAAGTTGCAGTTGTCTTCGTGATTCGTTGTAAATTTAAAGTGCTTTTTTATACAAATATAATTACAAAACTGCATAAAAGTTATGAGCTATGTTGTTCACACTAAAGCTACTCACAGCTGAATAAGTCTAAGCTAAGAAGTTTATCATAATATTCATCGCATTTTATTTTGTTCTGACTGGTAATATCTGCAGATTAGTGTCAACGTCTAACTGCTCATGTTTTCGAGCATTATAAGTGAATTTATTGCACCATAACAATAGCTCACCTAGTCATCTCAGACGTTAGACTGCTCGCAGAGAGAAATTGCTTTACCAGAACAAATAACAACGAAACAATGAAAGTATCATTCGAAAAACATTGTTTTCCCGATACAAACTTAAGACAAGTAAAAAACGTAATTAAAGCAGGATTTATTGGATTCACAAATTTCAGTAGGACTCATCAGCTTTTTACCCTACATACATGATTTTATATACTGTCATGCAGTAAAGGAATGCATACACATGTAATACAGACATGGCAACACGGAGGGAATCATTTACTTATGTTGGTTTTCAGGAGACAGCGAAGTCAGAAAATGCTTCCAGTCGTGTAATCATGTGCGAGCCTAAGTGTACAGAAAGAGGTGGTAGTCACCCTGAATTTGCCATGGTAGAGGTGTCGAAGTATTCTTAACTTATTTATTTTTATTAGTGTCTTGTTTTTCCATCTTATTTCTTCCTCGACTTCGCATATTTATCTCTTCACTATCATTCTGCTGTACTATCATTTCTTCTTGAGGGTTTCCGTTTAATAGTCAAATGACTTATCTCCATCACCATTATCATTGTTATCATCCAACTAATACTCTAGACTCTTTTAGTTTAAGCTGTTACCAAGCTTCTTAATTGATGTTCATTTACCTTATTTCAAAATGACGTAATTTTAAATCTTTACAAGATTTATATTCTCACTGTTATCATTATCATTATTATCACTCACTTGTATTATCACTCTTATAATCAATATTTTTGTTTACCCAACACCTATGCTTCCCGAGTGTGGACCTTTATCAAGCTATCTAGTTGACTATTTATTGTTCTGTTCGAAATGATGTAATCTATACCTAGTCATTATATTTTTCATTATGGATTCGTTATCCCCTCCCAACCTAATCTAAGTTCTGTTTGACACAAGTAAATGATTCAGTCCGTGTTACCATTCCTTATTCAATATCTTAGCCTGCATTGCATAACAGTATATGAAATCATGTATGTAGAGTAAAAAGCTAAAGAGTCCTACGGAAATTTGTGAATCCAATAAATCCTCCTTTAATTACGTTTGTTACTTGTTTGAAGTATTAGTTATCGCCATTTGTTCGCTTTTATTCCAGCAGAGCAGTCCCAAAATGTTGTTAAGGTCGTAAAACATCTAAGTACATATTTTCAGTTCATTTTGGTAAATTAGATAAATATACTTATTTAGACATGAATGATCTCTTGACCTGTACGAACAAAATCAAAATAACTATGACTATTTACCATAAACTGCTTTATCAATTTGGGATAGACAATGGTATTACCTTAAAGAGGACTATGGGATAAACTTTAATGAACTTCGTTTTCTGTACAAATCAAGGAATTGCAAACTCTCCAAAATTCTCAACTTTTAAATGCACTATTTGTAAGGTAATAAGTATCGTTTAGGTATTTTTAGCCATGAACTGGTAATGCTGACTGAATAGTCTCTCAATATTTAGAGAATTATGAAATAGCTGTCGGTGACTTGTCACTTACTTACTTAAAAATTTGAACAAAATAAATTCTATTCTGTACGAATGCCATCATGTAGTCTTTCGAGAAATACTGCAGAGTGACGAATATACTACCAGGTGCATCCAAGTTTTATAGGATAACAATTGATGTTACTATTTACTGAAAAGTGTATTTATCTTGCTTTACTTCCATAAAACCATTTATCAAATCATATCAATAAATATTTGTACATACGTTTTGAAATTAATGGTGAACTTATTTTTAAAGTAGTGTTCACCACGAACTGACAACAATTGGAGAACCACTGAAAACCTGGAAGCATTGGATAGCTATTTTGTCCTGGTACAGAACTCCTCAGCAGTGCTCAGAATGTTCACTTCATGTTTCCGTCTCATCTTCGTTTTCAGTTTTGTTTTGATTTCACTCCTTATCTACTCGTGTATCTAATTAGCTTTCCCTTAGATATGCCACCAGAGCAAATTACTTTGTATTGCTATATTAATCAGTCGCACAGTATACATATATGTGCATCCTACTTTCAAGAGTTTAAAAGTGAAGTTTGAACACGTTTGAAGAGGGGTGAAAAGTATTATTTTTTTAACGTCATAACATCCATTCATCGATATGTTTACATTTCATAGGCTGTCCATCGAACTATCGGTAATTTGGACAGAAATAAGTGTTCTCTAACAAAGAGTGATAATAGCAGAAATTCATGCCAGAAACTTACCGGAAAAAAGCATGCTGTGAGGTACAGGAATCCCATAGTCTTTTTGCTAAGCGGGCATCTGTGCAGTGAAATGTTAACGTGATGTCATGACTAGTTTCACCAGAGTTATTTTCCCTTCTGTCGGATCCTTTCAGTCCACCGGGTGAAAATGTTCGCCTTAAGGTCCCACGCTTACTCAATGTTTCTTTGCTCATTGATCTGATGACCAAAATGAAATTTTTGATTTATACAGTAATTTTACAATCTGAGGCCAAAGAAATCGGTTCATACGTAACATTCCATGGTATAGTAATATTCCATCATGGTATACACCGAGACATACGCTTTCACCAGTGCTTGTCTGTCAAACAAAAAAAGCCATTAAACAAATCTCCTTGTTAATCGTCACTGTTAAACATGAGTCACCCAGCCAAGTTAAATAGTAATACTCAAAAAGCCTTTCTCTTGAAAGGGAATTTTCACTTTTTACCAGAGAGGAATTTCTCTTACAAACCAACATTAATAAATTTGTCAGGTTAGTATCTGGGAAGAGATCAACATAGATGAGATCCATAAAGGAGAGTGAAGGAAACTTAGTTACCAAAGAGAAAAAACAAAGGAAATGATGGGCTGACCACTTCAAAAAACTCTTGAATCGACCACTGCCAAAGTTACTAAAAGCCGGGGAAGCAGCAGAACCAGATGCAATTCCGCCAGAAGCACTGAAAACGGACGCAGAGACCACAGAGGACATGCTCACATCACTATTGCAGACGGAAGGAAGGAAAGATACCTGCCGATTGATTGGGAGAAGGATTGCCTTGTCGAACTCCCAAAGAACGGCGACTTAAGTCTTTGCAAGAACGGAAGCGGAATCATGCTCCTGCCCACACCAAGCAAAATATTAAGCCGCGTCATCCTGGAGGGACTAAAAGGTGCTCTAGACTCATAGTAACGACCGGAACAGGCTAACTGACTTCAGGAAGAACAAATCGTGTGCGGATCAAATTGTAACGCTACGCTTCGCATCATCATAGAACAGAGTATAGAATGGCAGTCAACTCAACCTCAACTCCACCAACCTTGAAAAGACTTTCGATAGCGTCGACCGAGAAGTATTTTGGAAACTACTTCAACACTACGGAGTGCAAAAAAAGCACCAATGAACCTCATTCAACAGCTATATACTATATGATGCAGCATGCCAAGTGATTCACAGTCGAAAGCTAAGTGATGCCTTTGAAGTGAAGACATAAGTAAGACAGGGTAGCCGCCTACTATCAACGATGATCTTCTTGATTGCGACTGACTGAACTGGATCATGCAACAGACAACTGTGAGGAGCTGTGAGAAAGAAGAGGGGCATACGCTGGCTGGACCGATGAACAGACCCCAGTAGAAGATTTGGATTTCGCTGACGATGATGATTTATGTCTATATGTCTCATCACACAAACTCGAAGATCTACAGGCGAAAACTAACAAGTTGACAGAAGAGGCAGAGAAAACGGGACTTCAAGTGAATGTAGAGAAGATACAGGTGATGAAGATTTCCAACCAACAACAGCATCAACAACAAGCACCGATCACCATCAACAGGAGGGACCTAAGAGAAGTAGTCTCTTTCACCTACCACCTACGCAGGGTAGCATCGTTTCAACTACAGGTGACAGTGGCGGTGGCGGCACAGATGAGGACATCAAAGCAAGGATCGGAAAGACAGCAAGACAGGCCTTCACTAACCTGAAATAATCAGTGTACAGATCTACTGCATTCAGTATAAGAACAAGATGCGGCTTTTTAACACTAATATCAAGTCAGTGCTTCTATTTGAAAGTTCAGAGACTTGGCGAGTTACGAAAAGCACTTCCAATAAACTACAAAAGACGGCCAGAATAACAAAAAATAAGCAACAACGAACTCTGGACGGGCAGCGAACCAAACAACAACCTATTGCCCAACAAATATGCAGAAGGAAGTGGAGATGGATTGGGCATACACTGAGAAGACCGATTGGGAACACCATGCGCCAGGCCAGGCTGTCGAGTGGAACCCGCATGGAAAGCGACGAGGTAGGCGTCCGATGGTGACGTGGAGGAGACCGTCTGAGGAAGAAATGAAAGCTTGTGGGCATTCGTGGCTCCAGGCTGAAAAGACTGCAGAGAAAAGAGTGAAATGGCGACGTGCTACTGAACCCAAGGGGAAAATAATAAAGAATAAACTGAATGTTAATTATCTTAATACGATTTGATTCAGTACATTATTTTGGTTGTCATAGCTACAATGTCTGTTGAAGTGACAACAAAATGCAGCAGATGGTGAGGTTCTTATGGTTAACTAGTGAGTTAGTAAATATCTTTTTATGATTAGTAGATGGGGCGACCAAAACATGTCATTATCAGTGAGATTATACCAATTATGGCCTACTATTCTGGATTTATGTCAGTTGCAAATAACAGAAAAGCCTAGTGCTAATAATGCAAGTTTAAAAATTCACAGGAGAATAATGCTAAAAATTTGGAATGAAACTCAGCAATGCGTAAGGAATCTTCAGTTTACTTCATCAAAGAATACTGTTTTCAACTCTGCAAACAGATTTAATGTGAAACCTGGTATCGGTAAGGGCAAAACAAAGTTGTTACTCCAAGGTTTTTCAACAGATTTATATTATCAATAGGAATCAATTTGAAATAATAATAATAAGTACTTTACATATGGTCAGAAATGCACATTACACGTCTTCACAACAATCAAAAGAACGTACAGAGAATTATCTTCAGTCAGTATGTTATCTTTCATTTACGAGTAATTTATACTCGTAAGTAAATGTAAATATACAGACAGCTTGTTTTCTATGTAGAAACCTTGTAAATAAATATCAGTCGTAAGTCAACCGAAGGACAGACCAATTACAGATAAATATATGTGAACTCAGTGCGACGTCATGGCAACCAAGTTGATCAGTGTCTACTGTTGACTTTAATGACCACAATGTGTTATGCATCTGTACACATGTAGCTCAGAAACTTGATTTTGATCATTTCCGTGGGCATTTTATTACCATCCATTAATTAAAATGAATAAGTCAAGAGAAGTATACAATTGTCCAGTTATTCTTGCTTTCTGTTTGTAGTACGATAAATAAAACATCACCCTCACATTTTCCATCAATAAAAATTTTTAACTTCAATGAATTCTCCAAGTCTGATGAACTGCAAGTTAAACAAGAGTCTCCAGAATACATCACAAATTTCTTTTCAATAATTCGCGTTCATTGATGCCTTAAAGAAAGAGGAGGTTCATAACTTATGTATACTCATGAGTAATTTCGTTATAAAAATAATTTTGTATGTATCACTCATACCGTGATCGCAAGTTTCCTGAACGCTGTTGACGAAAGTACGAGTAATATACTATGGAATGAGAGTTAAAAGTGAGTCTGTGATGAATGCTACTTTGAAATGAGCCTATACTTACGAACCCTAAAACTGATTCCCTGTTTTCCATTCATCTCGCGAAGTTTAACTGAGAAATTGTGAGCTGTGGAGTTGGTCAAACCGGATATGAGTACAAATACTCACCGATGGCATTGAATGATGAGTGCACTATACCGTGAATTGATGGAAGTAGGAGAATGTAGACCATTGGGTTCCGAACCACAGGTTCAGTTGTAACACGACCGTTCCCAGGTATGAAGGGCCGAGGCTGAACAATGCTAGGGAGTTCCATACCAGGAAGAAACGGATGTCCACTGCTACTGAGTTCTCGATAACTCTAATTGCTGTCATTCCCTGATGAGTATCACGTTTAGATTAAAAACCACTTAAATATTTGTGAAGCTGTTCGACCTAACCTTTCTAAAAGCACTTCTGAATAACTAAGACAGTTTCCAAAACTCAATTGAAATCAGAAGTCTTGTTACTGTTCATTTAGTGTTTGCGTTATCTATCCACTCAATGCAACACTCAACTGAAGTCATCCTTCACTTTTAACAGTATGGCTCCAAAAAGGCTGTTAATTAAGGAGTAGCATATTGAAAATACAATTGGATAATTTTCGTAATGTTGGTTATTTACATGAATTAACTCAAACGACTCGAAACCTTTATAAACCTATAATGCAATTCTTCATGAAATTAATTAGTATGTAAAGATGAAAATGTCGGTTTCTCACTGTGTTTACTGTGGCTATAATGCTTAAGACAATATTTTGCTGGAAAACTTGACATTTACCATTTACGCTACTCATCTAAGTTCACAAACAACTATAAGGCATATTACTCAGTTTGGTAGTCATTGTTATAGGCAACAGTAAAAACTAACCCAGATGATATGATAAAGAGTGGATTTTATATTTACAGAAGTCTGGTTCAGCCCAAGTTTCATGCTTGCTGGTAATCATCAGGAAGTCACATCTTAAACTCAGAGGAAACTCATATTTTCCCACAGATTTGAACAGGCGTCACTAAGCATTGATGTTAGAGACTTTGCCACCGAACTAACCCATGCAGGACGCTATTATAAGTTACAGAAATGATGACTCATATGGAATTTAAGTTAAATGTTCTGAGTGTTGAAGTAAGTTTGCGGGTAAAGATGACAATACAGAATGGATATCTATCAAGACAACAGTGTACTTTAACTAAAACTTCTTGTTAAATAACACTTAACACATAACATCGGCAATTATTCACTTCAAGTTATTGGAATGTCACTTTATAACTCAGCTTTGCATCTCTAAAAATAAAATTATCAATATTTTCCTTGGCTTATCATATACTTAGTCAAAATAAGTAAAATACTAAAAGGCTAAAGTAAACACGATTTCCACTAAAAATATCTGTTTAACAAATGCATACCCTAAAGTTGTTCACCCACAGTGTTATAGGCCTCTGTTTTCGACATCTGACAGCTATGAATATTATTTCATTGCAGTTAGTAACAAAAAAACCTCGCCTGGATAACTAGTTTACTAGTTACCAGCCAGTCCTAAGCCCGGGTAAAGAGGGAGGTTGGGCATAGGGTTAGCAATCCTACCCCGTAAAACAAATTCAACAGCTAAAGAAACTTCAAAGCACAAACAAAATATAAAAAATAAAAACAAAATTATTCCTCGCTGGAATCGGAAAGGCGAAATGACGCCGGTTGGTGAAAGCCTTCGGGAACCCAATTGGCCGATCTGTCTTCTCTTCTCTTCTCTCGATGAAAGCCAAAGTAAACGTGGGGACATGGAATGTCCACACTATGTTTGAACCTAGCAACGCTGGTCAGATTGCAAACGAGATGAGAAGGTATCACAATGAATAGCTAGAAATTTGCGAAAGCAGATGGAATGGAAGTGGACTCTTCAAACTGTCAACTGGAGAATCAATAATCTACTCCGATATTGTCACCCAGACGACAACCACAAACACAGTGAGTTATAGAGTGGCTATCATGATGTCCCCAACAGCATCGAAGGCTCTCATGCAGTGGGAACCAATCTCCTCTACAATCAGGATCATAACAGCAAGGTTCATCTCAAAGGAAGGAAGGTCACAATCATACAATCCTACGCTACGCTACGCACCTACAAATAATGCAGATGAACAGAAAAAAGGAGGAATTCTACAACACTGGACAAGACCTCAGTTGGCGATATCAAAATTCTAATGGGCGACATGAATGCCAAACTTGGAGCGGACAATACAGGATGAGAAAAAAAAACGGGTCGAGAAGCGCTCGGTGAAATGAACGAGAATGGAGAATTGTTTGCAGAATTCTGCGCATTCAACGATTTGTTGATTCGAGGCAGTGTACAAACACAAGGATATTCACAAAGCAGCATGGACTTCACCAGATGGACACACTACACTAAAAATCAGATCGACTTAATCTCAATCTGGAGAAAGTGGAGATGCAGCCTACTGGACACAAGATCACATCAAGAAGGGGAGTAGATGTAGGTTCACATCACTCACTATCTAGTGCAAGGAACCTTCAAAATCAAGTTAAAAGCCTTCAAGGAAATCGGTGGTAGACCACAGTTCAAGTTCAACACCCGGAAACTGAAAGAAAAAACAACAAAGGACATCTTCACATCAGCCACCAGGATAAAATGGGAGACGTTGAGCAACACCGCTGAAGAAAACTGTGTAGATGAGCACTGGAACTCTTTGAAAGCTATGTTGAAAGAAACCTGAACAACCGTATTAGGAAGGAAGAAGAAAGAAGATAAGGAATGGATTTCGATGGAAACATGGAAGATGGTAGAACAGCGAGAGGAGGATGGTGAAGCAGAAGACAAACAACGAGAAGAGGAACCGAGTACACTGTATAAAACACTGGACAAAGAAGTGAAGAAGAGTGCGCGCAAAGACAAAAGACACTTCCACGAAACACTGACAAGTGAAGCAGAACACGCTGCAGGTAGGAGAGATAGAGACCTGACAACATTGTACCAAACAACCAGGTTACTATCTGGGAGGGAAGAGATCAACACACCACAGAGGAAACCAATTGAAAATAGTGAAGGAAAGCTAGTAAGCGAAGAGGAGAAAGAAAGGAAGCGATGGGCTGACCACTTCAAAAAGCTCTTGAATCGACCACCAACTGCAACTCGTCCAGAAATACCACCACTCTTCAGCCACAGAACTACCAGTGAACTCAAATCCTCCAACAAAAGTGGAAGTCTTGAACGCTATAAAGCTACTGAAATGTGGGAAAGCAACAGGACCAGATGGGATCCCGCCAGAAGCACTGAGAACAGACACAGAGACAACAGCATCGGACATGCTCACACCACTCTTCAGAAGGTCGGGAAGGAGGGGAGGGCACCTGGCTAGTGATTGGAAGAAGGGTTATCTTGTCAAACTGCCGAAGAAGGGTGACCTGAGTCTTTGCAAGAACTGGCGAGGAATCATGTAACTGTCCACCCCAAGCAAAATATTAAGCCTCATCATACTGGGGAGACTGAAGGATGCACTGGACTCAAAACATGACCGGAACAGGCTGGCTGGCTTCCGAGAGTACAAATCATGCACGGACCAAATTGCAGCTCTTCGCATCATCATAGAACAGAGTGTAGAATGGCAGTCAACTCAACTCTACCTCAACTTCATCGACCTTGAGAAGGCCTTTGACAGTGTCGAACGAGAAGTAATTTGGCAGTTGCTTCAACACTACGGTCTCAGTGCCACAAACCTTTATCAACCCCATTCAACAACTATATGACGACGCCACATGCCAGCCAAGTAATTCACAATGGGAAGCTCAGTGATGCCTTTGAAGTGAAGTGAAGATAGGAGTGAAACAAAGCTGCTTACTGTCACCCATGATATTCCTGATTGTGGTCGACTGGACTGGATCATGCAACAGACAACAGTGAGGAGCTGTGAGAAGAGGGTGATACGCTGGACTGCGGAAAAGATCCTAGAAGATTTGGATTTCGCCAATGACTTATGTCAAATGTCTTCTCGCAGAAACTCGGAAATCTACAGGCGAAAACTATCAAGTTGACAGAAGAGGCGAGGCAGGGCAGCAAGACAGGACTTCGAGTGAACATAGAGAAGACACAAGTGATGAAGATGCCCAACCAGCAACAACATCTACAACAGCAAGCTCCAATCACCATCAACGGGAGGAACTTGAAGAAAGTAGCCTCCTTCAACTATCTAGGCAGCACAGTCTCAACTACAGACGGCGGACACAGACGAGGATGTCAAGGTCAGAACCGGGAAAGCAAGACAGGCGTTCATTAGCCTGAAACCAGTGTGGAGATCTTCTGCACTCAGCATGTGGGACAATATCCGGATTTTCAACACCAACGTCAAGTCAGTGCTTCTGTATGATGGTTCAGAGACCTCGCGCGTTACGAAAAGCATTTCCAAAAAACTACAGACATTCATCAACAACTTACGCCTACCGTTGCTCATTACTGAAGATCAGATGACCAGAAAGAATAAGCAACAAGAAACTCTGGTCTGGAAACGAACCAACCAAGAAGCTATTGCTCAACAATATGCAGAAGGAAGTGGAGATGAATTGGGCATACATTGAGAAGGCCGACTGGCGACATCACGCATCAGGCCAGTCACTCGAGTGGAACCCAGATGGGAAGCGACGAGTTGGGCGTCCGGTGGTTACATGGAGGAAATCGTGCGAGGAGGAAATGAGAGCTTGTGGGCTGTCTTGGAGCCAGGTTGAAAAGATTGCAGAGAACAGAGTGGAATGGAGACGAGCTACTGAAGCCCTATGTTCCATTAGGAACCCAAGGGACAAATAATAGTAACGAAAAGAGCCTAATGAAAGTAATAAATTCTGAGATGGTCTGAAGAATCAGGAGTTTCATAAATGCGGGAAACTAGCTAAACAAGAACACTGAAAGTCTGAATTTCAAAGTTCATATCAACCTGTAAACAAAAGCTTCCAGCCAGTTTAGATAATTTGTACTTTTTCATGCATACCTTAAGAAAGTGCATGAAAGAGAGTATGAAGAAGAAATAATCTTTGACGAGCCTTTTTTCATCTAACAGATGACGTTTAGTGATGAACTGACCGTAATTCTCTCCTCAGTGTTGATTAAGCTTTAGATGCTTGCTCCTACGATAGATAGATAGATCTACAAATACTTTTTGCATCCCATCAGCAAAATGTTTCGTAAATGCTTTTAACAAAACATGTATCGAACAACAAAATTCCTGGTGCTAGAGAAGCATTTGATGTGATTTAAACTCAATGATGTGGTTATATATGAACACATTTTAGGTGAGTCACGAGAATACATTGAAAAGATATAGAAGCATGCAATCAAAGTGGACGTAAAAAGTTCTTTCTGAGGAGCTGGAAATCTTTCACACACCAGTCATATGTGAACTCCAGATTTATTAATAGTATCTAGTTTTCATAACTCAATAAGGCTGGAATTAGGGTTGCATTTAAACCTAAAAACTCACTCAGAGATAGCTTTGTCGGCTTAAGAATCCGGTAGATACAGTTAAGCAAATAATCTGATCAAGTATATAAGTCAAACTAAGCGGTCGGGTTCAGTTACATTAGCAGAAAGTAGGAATTCAGCTAAATGTTGAATGACAGACTCCATTAAGACCAATAACCTAGAAAAAACTCAGTTATTTCAATGCATCCATTAACACTCAAACACACAGTAAGGTGAGATAAAACCATTATACTTAAGTCCAATATAATTAGGTGGAGAGAGAGATTGATTACTGAAGCTTTGTTCATACAACACATGTAATAGGTATGATGCGGCACCTGTACCAGAGATATGGAAAATTTCACTACTAACAAGAACAAAGAATATGCGATGACAGGACTATAAAAATCGACTGTCGTAAGTAATGTGACTACATTGATATGATTGTGAGCAATAATTTGTGCTCGAAACGTCATCAAGAAGATTTTTATGCTAGTTTGCTTATATGCTGGATGAAAACATACATTAAGTAATGATTTACAAATTTTAGTCATTAAATCAACAAACAGTAAGAAAATAGACATACTTTGGCTCTGTGAAATTCTACTCCATATAGTGAAAGTCTTCTAGCATTTTCCAAGAACCCTCGATCTGCTTGAACTAGTGACTGTCCTCTGTAGATCAAAAAACATGAAAAGAATTAATTAGTTAATTCATTTCCTGTTTTTAATATTGGAACGATTTAACGAGGCATAAAAGTTAGTGTGAATGAATAAAGTGACGTAATGAATCTAGCACATAGACAAGTTAATTTTTGAATTCGGCGCCCCCATCTTATCGCCAAGGTGGACAAAAGTTATTACATTAACAGTTTAATTTTCTAGATATGCCTTGACAACCTTAAGATGGTATTGTTAAAAATTCCATTCGATTTAATCCACAGTTACATTTAGTTCACCGAGAAAGGTTGCTGACGGCGCAGTTAACAGTGAATCATTTATGAAAAATTATGATTGAATCTTCAGAGAAAGAGATGACCACCAATTTACCAAGTAATCTGGTGATTAACTGATGAGATCACAACCATAATAATAAAAAGAGGGAGGACAGAATGGACTTGCTGAAAGAGTAAAATGCCTGATTTTCAGTGGAGATTTAGCATTATGTAACTTTCTTTAGTATTGCTTTCTGATTACGCTGGATAAGGTGGACATTTTGAAGCATTTAACAAAACAAATTGACTTTGTATACAACAAGGTATCGCATTTTGCTAACAACAGTCAAGAGATTGTTAAAAGGCGCAACTTTTCAGAAAATACAAATAGTCAAGAGAGAAATATGAAGGTATGAGAGTGATAGCAAATCAGTTAAATGCAAATAACTCTGTGAACGCTGTCAATTAAATATGTCGGATATCAGCATTGTCCTTTGTTATGCAACCTGCCTGATTGAGAGGACGTCTCTCAATTGTTTTATGCTGTCTACGGACCTCTGTGCTACATGGTTTTCTTAAAAGTGAAATAAAAATTTGCCAACTTCAGAAGCATCGATTAAGCCCCTTGATTTGATTCTATTCAGAAATCTGAATACCTTTCGATGGCTATTAGATAGTTGTAAAGTCCCAAGTCTTTTGCAGCAAAAATGTTGTGAATACCCACTTTAGGGAAAAATACTACATTAAATAATATAAAGAATCATGTTGTCTAAAATGGTCAAACAGGCTAGATTATACTATTGAATTTAACGTGTTCAACCAACCTATAAAACTCAGTCCCCGAACATGTTCATAAAACAGTCCCGCACCGGATCGATTATATATGTGTATATATCGCGGAATAACGTTTTCTTCAGGAAAAATCATATATTGTTTCTGTTGCCGAAACATGCTGATCAACAGTATACCGTTTTGATATCCATTACTAATTGTATGCTAAATAAAAACTAACTGCTGCTTGCTATTTCATTGACACTTTCAAAAGGTTAACTTGACGCTTTATGCGATGAGAATGAAGGAGAGTTTTTGAACTTTCTTCTTTGAACTGTTTACGTATGCTCACATATTGGCAAAAATCTACCACGAAAGCTAGCAACACCTTTTTCTTGACGATTTCTACAAAAGCTGTATTCATTGGGAGCTTGAAAACTCATAACATTTTACTCAGAAAGAGCCCATTTGTATGTATGGACTGCACATTATTCACTGCACATATTTTTAGGAATAGTTAATTACATACATAGTACCTGGGATCTTTCAACACCCTCGTTACATTGTCAGACTAGACTTGGAAACTTATCTCCTATTTGATTCGAGTTTCGTTCTTGTTTATTGAAGGACGAACATCTTGTGTCAATGTCACTGATTGCACTTGAAAGCTTGAATAACGTGTTGTCCGTTCATCACAAAAACATAAGATACTGAGTGGTTAAACCTGTTCCACAGTGGAAAAATCCTGAAAAACACTAAACTGTGGTACAGTTTTTCTTAAGGAATAACCCTTTACACCCAATAACAAAAAAGACAAGTATAGTGTGGGGGTCATTAAACTTCTCATTAGAAAACGTCTATCAATCGTTACACTTTATTCTACGAGCATAGCTTGAAAACTGTGTTTATTACCCTCTAATAATTGATTTCGATGTGACTAGTTGAGTTTTTTTTAAATCTTGCAAGTGCTATTCAGATAATTAGTTTGTAGTATCTGCTCTTCAGACTTGTCGGAAATTAATAATTTGATACACAATTCCCAATACAATTACTTGGATGAATGATTTAATCATGGAGCCTTCGTTGTCACTCTTGACAACATCGTCAGAACAAGCTTAAGAAAAATGTTTGTGCTAATGATTTCATTTAAAGTGAAGGATACAATGAAAGCCTCCCGATTAAACCATCCAGCTCAGTGAACACAACACCATACAGATTATCCTCCTGAAATAAAAATGTTCTCCATCATCTCATAATTACAATTAATGTGTGAAAAATGTAGATATGTGTCCAAAGGTACGTCTACTATTTGATAAATTATTGTAAATGAATGGTTTTAAAAACCATGTTAAATTATTAATTGTTTGAAATTTGGCCGTAGAAGTTAACATGAACAAAAATTGGTAATACAAATACAGATATAATCAAAAAGTAAAATGTTATGACTCTAATGTATTCCAATTCAATAAACTCTCCTAAAGGCAAGGCATTCTGAGCTTACTTATGGAGTTTGTGTAATTCAACAATCTGTTGAAGCATTTTGATGTTTGTAACTGTTGTGGTGCAAACGGAATATTGGCGATATAGTCAGTACCAATATGAGTGTTAGGATCGTGATCTCCAGCATCTGACTGAACAACAAAAGCGCCAAGAATAACGTAGGTGTGGTGAGAACATGGAAGCCTAAACAAAAATTAGGATAGAAAAAGTATGGAATTCGATAGTATGACAACAATGTGCCCTAAAAGTAAAAAAATATCTCATAAACAGAAACTTTGTTCTGATTGCGTTTGATTGCTGAAAACTGATAGTAGGCCAAAATGTTTCGTTCGTTTCTGTTAAGCATGCAGCACTATGACCAGTTGAGTGAAGATGCATAGTGGAAGCTTCCTGAGGATGAATGAGAATCTTATCGATTACTTCAATTAGTAGTTTGATTTCAAGATAGTATTCACCATAGATTAACATAAGATGCATAACCAGTGAAAACTTTAGAGTAGAAAATAGCTGCTTCATTCTAGTGTAGGACTCCTGAGCTGCATACCAGTAGCATTGGATGACGATCACTTTGTGTTGGTGATAAACAGAAATAGGGAAAATGTGGATCCCGACCCAGTGACTAAATGGTAACTTTCTTCTCTTGAGACCTAATAACCCTAAGATCGATTTCTCACGGAGTCGTGGGTTCTCGCTGTTAATAATTGCTGTCAACCCACATAAAATATTTTTGAAAAACTCCAAGGCAAATTATACACTTTTCTATCAATGAAAAGTTTGAAGAATAAATTTCATCCTAAACAACTTCCAGGAACGGAAATTTTTTGAAGCTTACTTAGGCTAACGAAGATGATATGTAGCTCTTCCATAACAAAATTAAAAGGAGAATACAGCGCACCTGTATAACTATCGGTTGAATAACTTTCATTAAAATGGTATTTCATCAAGCCCTTTTAACAAGTTACTCCAAGTTAACAGGAAATACTGAAAAAATATCTACAAGCAAATCTACCGGTATGGCTGTTAGCCAACTAAACTTATGGTTTCTCCATTCTCAAATGACACATCTAAATGCCACTGTAATTGGCATGTATTATTTTAATCTGTGCTAACTTTATTCCTATACCAATGTTAGACAGGGATCAATGGAATTAATCAGAACTCAGTGTCCTGACATTCGGTACTACAGTTCAAATATGTAGTCGCATCTAAGCAGTGGTGTTTTATATAGGTAATTTGTTTTGAAATCACATTCTTTTCAATTAATGGCAAAACTAACCATCTCGCTGTCTATAACTCTGAAGTGTGAACACATAAAAAGTGTAATTAATCTTGAGGTAAAGATTAGTTTATCGTCTGATGAGCAGTGTGTTGTTTACAATGAAAAACCATGTTATTAATAAAGTCAATATGAAAAGCGAATTCAATGATAAAAGAAACTTGAAGATGTCTTGCTCCTGGTGCTTTGACTTTTAAGGTAGTAACTCGAGTTTGTAGATGTTTTCTAAAATTGACTAAGGAGGATGACTTAAAGTATTCTGACTTCTTTTCACAAAGGTAAATTAAAAAAATAAATAAATTGTTAACGTACTGTCCTGAAATTATGTCTTGTCTCAATTGCAAACAAAAGAAGTAGCGAGTTAAATCATCTTTGAACTCATCAGTGTTTGGTGGGTAGAACGTACACGAAACTCCAGTTTCCATGGTACTTCTGTAAAGATAAATCAAGAAACAGAATTAATGCTTACAGAAAATCTAAAAACAAATAGTACAAATCATGGAATAAAACTTGGTATCCTTATTGACTTATTTGATATTGTATAGCATGACAATGTTTTCATCCATCCTTATTAGATATGGTTCTTCTAAAACATAAGGAGTCAAAAAGTTCTTTACTGTGAAATAAATGAGAGCTGGAGCAGTGTTTTCAAAGGAATATAATGAAAAATATCCCAATAATTATATTCCTTTAAGCGTAAATAAACTTTATCATATTCCTAAGTCTGATTGCCTTCAAACTACTTGGGACTACAACAAGTCCCCATCACATGATATGTTATTTGATTTATAACACAGTGATACAGTATGTGTTATAAATCAAATAAACAAATCTAATATGAAAGAGATACTACTACTGAAAAACTTGTGTGGTTAGTAGTTAATGGTATATATTGTCAGTTCACGACAGTTTTGAGTCAGAGATCATATCACGTGATCTCGGCTGAGCGGTTTCTAGTGGAAACATTGCTGACGATACAGTATGGCAGTTAAAAATCGCTCAGATATGAGAAATGTCAACCTGGCCCGTGCAATATGTAAATCATTAGTAAATTGATCTTCTTATACTTATCGGTAAATCTCAACACAGGAATATATCACTGAAGAAAATACTTTTTAACACATTATCGTCTAATCCTAACAATCAAACTTTGTTGGGAATTTTGAAAAACGTCTCGTGAGCTTCAAAAGTGCCATCCACCTAGGGAACCTTTCCGATATCTTTAAACAGCAGGAAGTATTCGCGCATTCTAAAGTTAAAGTCAACTTTAAAAACGAACTAATATTTTATATTTCAACAATCGAAATATTCCTATTATAGAATGAAAATTAATAAAAGACAATGAAACTCTATGTTCCACTAGGAACCTAAAGGAGAAATAATAACAATAATAGTAAAAGGCAATGCAAAGAAGAAAATTTTCTTCTCGATGAATCATTTTCACAAGCTGTACATCGTAATCACAGTTACGACAAAATATTTATGTCCATCAGTGCCTAATGGGTCAATGCAAAGTCATCAAAAACGGTCAATAAAGTCACAAGGTGATAACGGCCAGAAGGTCAAATCAAGGTCACCAAAATTGTTTAAATAGGATTGTAGTAAATAAACACAGAAATGAATAAATTGTCTTCGGGAGATTACGACCAAGGCAAAATTAGAGATTGAATGTATGTTTTTTGAACACAAAGAGTAGGCTTGCAGTCCTGAATTGTCAGAGCTTCTGCTGTGTTTAGGTGGTCAATACGCACGGGCTTCGAAATGTTTGCATTCACTTCGTAAATGGCTTTGAAAGAAGACTTTAGTGTGTGACAGGTTTATGTTATCATCGGACATCACATCGCTCTTCAAAAGTGTCCCTTTGATGAAAACAATCTGCTTTCTATATGATTATATTGAGATCAACAAGCTTGGAATTGGGATTCCTAAAAATTATCTGAAGGAACTACGCCAACTATGTACCCTTATTTTACAATTTAGATTCACTAATGAACTTTATCGACAAATGGATGGGGTGAAGATGGAATACCATTGGATTCTATCCTAGCTGATTTATTAATGGCCAATCTGGAGAAAAGTAAACTGTGTCCACTGATCGACCAGTCCGATGTATATAAGAGATGTATTTATGACATATTCATCATCTGTGAGGGGGATAGTAACCTTGAAAGAGTACTATGAAAGTTCAATAAATGTCACGAGTCAATTAAATTTATCATGGAAACTGAAGAAAACTCAGAATTCTACATCTCAAACATCCAATTGAAAAGAAGACGTGATGGTTCTCTAAGGAGATCGATTTACGGAAAACAAACATGGAATAGTCAATATACTCGATTTGGAAGCTGGGTTACACTAGTCAGGAGAAGAAATCTAGTTCATTCACCAGTGCTGCGAATTAGAAGAATTTGTACGGATGATTCAGCAAACGAGGAGCTGGGAATACTTCAAAGAGTGTTAATCGAGAATAGTTATCTTTCAAGATTCTTCGAGAGGAACATGAAGCCTAAGAATTTCAAAGAAGAAACCCCAACGGCTTTAAAGATGGCACTGTTTATGAATATTCAATACAAGAGAAATAGACCGGCTGAGTGGAGCTCGGGAACAGCAAGCCCGAGAAAACCAGGCAGGCTTTAGACCTGGCCGTGGATGTATCGACCAAATATTCACACTGCGCCAGGTCCTGGAAAATAAGCATGCCTACAGACGCCCGACAATGGCTGTATTTCTCGACCTGAAGGCGGCATTTGACTCCGTTGGTCGAGAAGTCTTATGGCAATGTCTGTCACTGAAAGGCGTGCCGAGTAAGTACATCACCTTATTGAAAGCTCTCTACTCGAACACTTGTGGGCATGTTAGAGCCTATGGCGAGTTGTCCAGGGAGCTATACTCATCAAGTGGTGTCCGTCAAGGGTGCCCACTATCCCCATTCTTATTTAATTTTATCATAGATATTCTTATGGAGGTTTCCCTCTAGTCACCTAATTACACAGACGTTGACCCAATCACAGGTGAATTTTCTTTAGATCTAGAATATGCAGATGACATAGTCCTGTTAGGTGAAGACGCTGACAAGATGCAGAGTCTTCTGAACACTTTGAGTGGGAATTTGAGAATGTTTGGGATGCGATTTTCACCACCCAAATGCAAATTTTTGTTCCAGGACTGGTCTTCAGCGGTGCCCCACCGCGGCTAACAATAGAGAGTGAAGTGGTTGAATGTGTTGACCACTTCACTTACCTGGGAAGTAGGATCAACCCCGGTGGGTCAGTTGCCGATGAGATTTCGGCACGGATACAAAAGGCTCGATTGGCTTTTGCCAATTTGCGCCACCTATGGCGCCACCGTGATATCCGTTTGTCTATTAAGGGTCGCGTGTACTGCACAGCAGTCCGGTCTCGTCAACTGTATGGCTGTGAAACATGGCCATTGAAGGTGGAAGGCATGAGAAGACTTCAGATGTTTGACCACCGTTGCCTTTGTAGTATAAGCCGTATTCCGTGGTGTCACCATGTGGGTAATGCAGAAGTTAAGTGTAGAGTTTTAAGGAGAACAGGTAAATCAGTTGACCCGGTTGTGAACCATCATCGATTAAGATGGTTGGGACACGTGTTGCGCATGCCTAGTTACCGTGTGCCTTGTCACACAATGTTGTCCGAAATAGGTGCAGGCTGGAAAAATGCCAGAGGCAGCCAGACTTAAACATGCCATCAATGTATGAAGTCTTTGACTGTTGGTTTGAGTCATGTGGGACGATTCAAACTAGCCGGCTGGGGTCCGCGGGACAAGAGGAACCAGTGGTTGGAGACTCTAGGTGATATGACTCAGAATCAAAGTCAATGGCGCGGTTGTATACACACGTTATCCTCATCTTAACGACACTGTACCGAATCTCACTATTTTGTCATTCCTTTTTTTTTCTTCTCGTACTTTATATCTCTTTTGACTGCATTCACTTATCTTCATCCTTCACCTCACTACCTTTTTACTTGATGTGCTGATATGAGGTGTGGCAACTCGGACCGTTACGCAGTAATACCTGGTCCTATGTTGATAATGATGATGAGATATTGAAGAATCGACTGAGCAAAGCACCAAAGAAGACCTTTTCCGCTCAGCTTCGGATCGTTTTCTCCAGTCAACAACTGATTCAAGGGTGTGTAAATGATAAACTACCTATTTGGGCCACTTCCAAGTGTGTTTACCAGTTCATCTGCTGTTCTGAAGCTGGTTACATAGACCATATAAAGCGTGTTTTGTCCAAACGCATCTCCGAACACTATACTGTAAGGCTGCTTAAAGGACGGTATAAAGCCGTCAACAGCTCTGTTCATGAGCATTTAATGACATCAGATCACTGAGCTCTACCAGAGTCTTCTTTCAAAGCCATTTACGAAGTGAATGCAAACATTTCGAAGCCCGTGCGTATTGACCACCTAAACACAGCAGAAGCTCTGACAATTCAGGACTGCAAGCCTACTCTTTGTGTTCAAAAAACATACATTCAATCTCTAATTTTGCCTTGGTCGTAATCTCCCGAAGACAATTTATTCATTTCTGTGTTTATTTACTACAATCCTATTTAAACAATTTTTGGTGACCTTGATTTGACCTTCTGGCCGTTATCACCTTGTGACTTTATTGACCGTTTTTGATGACTTTGCATTGACCCATTAGGCACTGATGGACATAAATATTTTGTCGTAACTGTGATTACGATGTACAGCTTGTGAAAATGATTCATCGAGAAGAAAATTTTCTTCTTTGCATTGCCTTTTATTAATATTCTATAGTAACAAAATTGAGGACTAAGATTCCTTATATTCAGCTTGTTTGTTATAGGTCCTTATCTTAAAATGAACAACTAACTTTATATTTAGTTACACAGATGAAAACCATGCATGATTTAATGAAACACGACATCATTCCATAATGACATGCGTTATTTCAATATTGATAAGATTATTAAGCAAAATTAAAACAGAAGTCATGACTCAAATTATATCAGTGTCATTAATAAATTAAAAAAATATTATGGAAAAAAAATGAAAATAGACATCACAGGCTTATGAATAACAAATTATCAGGAGTTATAAATTAACAAGAGAGTACACGTAACATACTATGAAGCATAACGCTTAAATCCTATACCTACTGATTTCGTCTGAACAGAAACAAGTTAAGTATGTAAGCGTACGGACAAATGAGTTTTTCTAAACACTGAATGTAAGGGTTACAGTTATTTAGAACCTCTACAGTCTTTAAATTTCAGGATAAAATGTACAAACAGTTAGAAGGAATTACCAATATCCCCAATCTTAGTAGACATTTGGAAAAGCATGGCTTTAAGGCAATAAATTATTCCTCTAGGATATGATGAAAATAAGTGGATGATATATTTACTGTGCTGAAATCTGGATATATCTCTTGTTTATTCACATATACAGAAGGTAACAGTAGATGTCATCAAATTTGCTCACGAGTTTGACAATAACCAAAGAGAACTATGTTGAACTGAAAAATTAGAAGAAGGAAAGATAGTGGTTCACATGCTATCATCTAAAAGAAACCAACACATTTTCATAGGCATTTTGACGCAGAGAAAGAATGGCAGAAACTTTACGAAGAATTATTAACAGGGCAGGAATTAGAGTTAACAGAAATGATCGAGCGCTACCTTTAGGTATCCGAAGAACACAATGAGTGACAAGTGACAGAAAGTTAAAAACCATGTGCTGGAAGTTGTGACCATCTTAATAAGATCATGAGAAAGATAGTGTGCTCGAAACGTCATCCATCACTGTGTACTATACTAAATGAACCAATTCATTATGCAATCATATTATCCTCTCATGCGTTCGCTGTTTCGCTATTATTGTTTCATAAACATTAAATTGTTCTTCCAAAATTTGCTCCATTCTCCATTTTTTTTATTTCTACAAGAATGTCTTCCTTGGGAAAATTAGATAATGGAACTCATGATATGAATACCAAAAAGGGATTTCGGTTACTGAATTACGTCCTGCAAAAATACCATGAGTCTTATTACAAGATTGCTCAAGACTGAAAAAATGTAAGTACTACTGTCTACCAAAGAAAACATTTTAACAAAAATAACCATTAAGAAGAATGCCACTGCATGAACGACTAACAATATTCAACTCAAGTTCTTCGGAACCGATAGTTTTTTACTATGGATTGAAATCAGTTGGAGAATAAGTGATCACCGTACAGCAGTGTATAGCTGTTATATCATGATCTGGGGCATCGTAACATTGAGCATGCACAAGTGAATATGCATTCGAACCCATAAGCACCAGGTTTTACCGAGAGTTTACTTTCATTTAGCCACTAGGCTGAAATCAAATCGACCGCTTTTTCAGATCCTATCGACTGGAAATACACCTCTTGATTATTAAGACTTGCTTAAAGACGGATTTTGAAAAGTTTAAGTGTGAAGTCATCTAATTTGGAAGTGACGACAGATACTCACTTTTGTGCTAAGCCCCTAATTGGGTCTCGGCTTTATACGAATAAGAAGTATTAAACTAGGACGAAACAACCCTCGAGTGCTCTCAGACTTTTGATGGTTCTTCAGTTAATGTCAATCCATTAATAAAACTACTTTGTAAACAAAAGCGCATCTAGAAAACTGTGCTTTGACGTTGATCAGCAGACTAAATAAATGATGAGCTAATTACTTCTTGTTAGTTAGATGGAGGGAATCGACAGGAAGCGCTACGTCGTATTTTCTGTGTCTGTTTGACAGTTTTGTTTGAAGTGTTACGCAGAATTTACTGTAACTAAATTTCAACTGTTTTAACTATTTGCTTAGTTGGAATGTTTTCTAATGAACAACGATACTATTCAAAACGTAGGTAGGACTATATAAGAATCAAACTAATATTCAACACTGTTCAGAATCTGAAGACATTAGAATTGTAAAAGGGGATGCAATTAGGAAAATTAAATGATAATTTATTATTCAAAACGTATGACTTCTGTCATTCACTCGTTGTACATCACCTTCTCCAAAGACAATAAATCTGCATACTATATGTGATGAATCGACCTGTAGGACGACTCCACTGATAAATAGAATATTGAGGCAGTCAGCGTACTTCGTATATTTAATAATATACAAAAATTTCGCTTTCAGTACAAAAATCTAGGCAAAACAGTCTGCAGTTTTGCTGCCAACATATAATAGTTCAGTACATACTATAAGAAGAAAGATGTCTATTATTGTTATATGTAAAAAGTGCAAATAACTGGTTAGGGATAGTTAAATTAAACAGCATGCCTTCATTTATCAGTGGACATTAGGCATCCTCTGAGACTGGAGACTAGACTATCCGTCAAATAACCTAACCATCATCCCTAACTGGTAAAATTTTTGCAGTAGAGTGATTCCTTCCATCCACTTCAAAAAAATTGTTACGATTTAGTTTAAGCTTTAGATAAAGGCAGAATGTCAACTAATAAGAACGTTTGCGCAAGGAAAACGGCTCCAACACGTTCTATAAATCAAAATGAATTTTTAGGGTTTAAGCAATGCAATGCATTATCTAAATCTGTTTTTCAATATCAGCAGTGGTATGTTACAACTCACTTTAGTTAATATTTGAATAATTTAGCGTGTCAATACAGATATAGTTGCAACATATTCTGCGTTTCTACTTCGGTAACTGTGTCCTGTTTGCTGGTAGTTATTCAACAATAAGGGATCAATAATTAGTATACCAGTATTAGCTGTTACCATTCAACTGCTAGGAAGACCTAGATGTGGACACTATGCTTGTTGGTACTCAGCCAGAAGGATCTGTTAGTATCAACAAACTTATGCTTCGCATTTGTAGAAACACTACCATTAAAATACTTAAGTCACAACTAACTCCCACAAGACTAGAGTTCACAAACGGATTAGTCACCATACAGCTATCCAATCCTTAGTATATTCCGCATACTCAGTATGCTATCCCTTCTTTTTAATGAATATACTAACATTAAAACTTCAATGCCTTCTGGTGTCAAAAATCATAACCTAGTGCGAATATTGTTTGACTTATGAAGTGATCTTCACACTACTTCGAAGCCACTGTTATATTATACAGCATATTTTTACTACATCCAAGGGTTCGTCGAGAAATTCTCTTAACAAAATCAGAAGCTAATGTGCAGTAGAGCATAAAAATGTGAAAGACCAAATACCAGACCCTACGAAGTATCCAGTTGTGAGGATCAAATCTAAATTATGCCTTATTTAATGATTAATTTGAACACTTTGGTTCATAGATCTTCCCTAAAAATTCGAAGCAAAACAAGACCTTGGCAACCAAATGCTAAGATGTTGATTCCAGAAACTAATTTTCAAACCATTTATACAGTTGCTGAAAACTGTTGTAAACAGAAGTAGACAGCAGGTATTGATATCAACTGCATAAATATAGTGACTAACCCTCATATTGTAAACGTAACTGTGTTATTAAAGAAGATATTCCATGTTACAGCGGAGCTCAGATAGCATCTTTACTCTTATACTAGTTGATTCTTCAGTTCATACTTAATTTCAATTCATCACACTTCGCATATTTTGTTTTCTAATTAGTTTGAACATTTAGATGCTCAGAATCAGTGGCTACTTTATTTTGCCCTGAAAACAGTATTCACTTTTAAGGGGACTTCTGGTCAAGTTTTATTGAATTTAGTTCAGTAATAGGTTTGAGATAGTTTTCACTAGTTCATTGATAGCCCTTATGTTTTCACTAAGTAGCAACCCAACTATTCACATTCAATTTCCATTAAAGGAATCTATTTATAAAAGTACTACAATGATTGCCTCCTGACTCGTAAATTTAAACTATGCCATAAGAATAGGGTAACCATATATACCTGTAGGCTAATTAAAAATTGAAACTTACTTTCTTACGTCTGCCTTGCATGATATTGAAGTTGATGGACGAAGACGATAAAATGGCAACTTATCTAGGCCTAACGCTCATTACACCCATCATAAGAGTATTGTATGCGCTTCAGTGTGATAGAGATATTGTAACGATATCTATCGCATGTCAGGGGAAACATAATGCATCAGCGACACAAAAGACAGAAAAGATCCGTCATTAGGCATGATTCAGTGAGGCAAAATCATCATATTCATTCCAAAATATACAGGGTTCACGGAATTTCTAAAGTGATAATTTGATATCACAGGTGGCACAGTATGTTATGATTAACAAAATCTGCCTCTTAAATTCTTACGAGGTGAAAAATTGTTGCATGCATTCTCAGACAATTATATTACTCCTAATTTCCGAGAAAACTCCACAATAACTTATTCAAGCGCCTTGATGGTAGACAAAAAAGAATGCCTTCGATAAACCATGTGATGTGCCAAAGCCATCAATAATTATATTAATAGACCTAAATTACGTGCACACATGAATGTTACAATAAACGCATAACCGATTCACCTTCTAATTCAGTTCTTGAAAAAGTTATAAACGAAAAAAGAGATGGAAAGTTTGCTATGGAAGTATTAGGCTTTAAGATATATGGAAGTGTTATCCACCTATAACTTGTCATTATCATGTGTACTTCAAGAAACGTTTCATAGGCAATAGTATTATTTTCACGTGAATTCTTATTGTGGGCATGTACTTTTCTCATAATGGTATGTCCTCTTGTCCCATTCATATTTTGAAATCTACAGTGTTAATGAGCTATTACTTATTAGTACTGCTGGGGACAACTGACTACCATTGGTCTTATCAGACAAAAAGACATGCATTAGTTTGTTAATAATAAAGACTATTTTGCACGGGACTTGCGGTACAAGCGCTGTATTTTAAGATAATATTGACTTGGTCGCCTTAAATCATGTCAAAATAAATATTCAAATTTCAAGGTCCACAGAAAAAAGTATGTGCGCTCCACAGTGTGAATTTTTGCTGTTATTAAAGTTAGGACGGTAGTAAATAACCATTCTGGTATCCTTTTATAATCGATATTTTGAGTACTGGTCATCTTATTTTGTTATTGTCAATTTAGCATGCCAGTGGAGAAGGGGCGTAACCTCGTATTATTTAAAGCTTTTCTGTGGTATTAGTTACCACCTTGTAAATGTCTGATAGAAACTAGGCAGTTGCCAGTTATCTAACAACTTGCGATTCTTCATTGCTTTAGAATTGTTCAACGAGATGATCCAATATTCCAGAGACTAGTTATTGCATGAAGGAATTTATGAACAAAACAATAGTCTGGGGAAATGATTAAATCATTCAATAAACTTGTATGTCACAGTAATAAATTGGGAAATTTGAAAATATTTGTACAGTGACTTACTTTCTACTTGTTTAGCTATACGTTTATCAAGTTTCAGCCAATTCTATCGGAAAAAGAAAAGGAGACATAGGATTCAGGTCAACAAAACAATTGAAGCTATGTTAGTAAACATGTTCTTTAAACAGACAGACAATGAAACTAAAGTCTGTGCTCGGTAATAAATTACAAGCGAAAAAAACGAACCACTGAAACATGGTACTAAAATATTTTTATGGTTGAACAGTAATTATGCAATCATATGTCTTCATATATGATGTTTATAGACTCATTCAGCTCATATTGTAGAATAAGCCAGATCGATTATTCTTAGACAGGCGGACTGATCAATAGGCCATTAGTACTTAACAGGGGTCAAGATTTTGACAAGAGATTACTTTCGTCACAAAAGCATAAACTCCTAGTTATGAAAACGTAGCTATTCGTGGAAACTTCGATGGCATAATGATGGTAAAATGTACTCAGGTGAGATAAGTATCCATGAAGATAGTGGGTTTACCTTAAATCCACACAAATAATTGCGTTAAAGGGAAAATGGGACGATAATTAGTTACTGTATAGTCTTAAGCAAGTATGAAGAATTTTTGGCTAGTATTCAGGTAGTAAATAATTCTTGTGTATGTAAAACTAATAACAGACTACTGTTTTAGTGGTGAGTGAATGTAACTAGCAATTAAACATGTATTGTTTCAGACGAGGTAGGTAATATGTTGTAGTATGAGAGTGAGATGCCTGAAAAATACAGTAAACATCTTCATTGTCATCTATACAGTGCGTACAAGTCTCATGAATGGTGTCCGCCTAGAACTTCTTCAAACTGCGGAAGTCAAGACAGTTAATATTTTGAAGCCTGAACTTTGCATTCAAAAAAGCTTGTCCAGTCACTTGAGTTGCAGGGGACATAAGCTATAAAAATTTTTACGTTGAAAAATCTTTTCATTCACATTTCACATATTTCATTTCTTCACACCTGTAACTCTAACTTCTCTTTACATTCACCATTATTACATCGTTTAACTTAGTAACCAAGTATTACTTTAGTCTTGATAAGGTTTCTTCTCATTACTATTTCAAACATAAAGTAATCTTTTCTCCGATTTCCTGATTTATAAACAAGTTTGAACTCCATTCAAAACATTTCACGAAACATCTTTTTTCTAATACTATGTGGATAGATTATTTATTTGCGACCGCACAGCTTGAGAATGACATCGCTGAAAAGAGTGACTCTTTGCTAGACGTCATGTTTTGTAACTTAGTGGGGATTTTTAAACTACTGAGGGACTGAATAGTTGTAGGTTTCATAGAAAGTAATGCAAATAATAAAATTACCAACTAATAATGCTTATCTGTTAGTCACATTTGTTTGAATGACGAATACAGTTTATGACAGATTTCACATACACCAGCTAGCCAAATGCTTTTCAGTGTACCTAGTTTTTAAAAAGACTTCAGATGAGTGTAAGGTTTATTTTGACTATTATACACCTGCTCATCACCATACAGGAAATTATATGATCATGCGTAATCTATTACATAGGAAACCTAAGTACATTGAAATCTTGTGAATATTCTACAAGAATTTATTATTTGAAGACTACTCAAATTCACTCATCCTCATAAGAAATAAACTCATAAATTTCGTTGACTGTGACAAACTACTTGCTTACTGAAGTAGTCTGAATATAAGTGTATACACATATCTTATCGAGTCTGCAGCAATCAAAACAGAAACATGAACAACGGTTTGAGGAATAAATGATACCTGCAGTGTTATTTGACTCTCCTCGTACACTGTAGAAAATAGATACAAATATCTGCTTACAAATAGACAGAAGAGCCTTATGATAAACATGAGTGAGTCAAAGTACACATAAGAAGATTCGTCATAGCTAGCAACATTTGGAGAATTTGTGTCTTTATCACACCCTAATGGTTGCAGAACATGTCTTTGTTTGTTAGGTACACGATATTTTATCTGCTTTAAAAAAATAACAGTTATAATTTAGTTAATTTATTTGTTGTGATATTTTGTTATCTAATTTCCGGATTAGTAGACGAAAATATTTGTTTTTCACTTGCTTGTTTATACATGCAATTAGATAAATACACGATGAAGTGGACAAATTAGGCGGTGTAGAATTTCAACTGAATTGGCACACTTTAAACATTGATCTATGTGTAAAAAGAATTCAGTTAGACTATTGACTGTGTATAACAGTTTACATGATGGTTAAGTACATATCGAATAGTCTTTGGTTCTTAGGTTTTACCGTATGAATGCAGTAAATAAGATCATTACTCCTGCTGATTTGGATAGATTTAGGCTTTTGATGCACCTTAGGATGGATTTCATAATAATTTTTGCATTACAGCAGGTTGGGCAGTGCTTATTTAAACATATAGTTAAACCACTGAACGGTAATCAGTTGTAAATCTACTCACGATAGAAACCAGAAATTCGATTTTAACCGACACATTCAGATGTGAATGTATTAGGCCTGGACTGGCTCACAGTATGATGCGAAGCATATTTCATAGACATCCTAGCTAATAACCTAAAATAATTAGTATGCACTAAATCATTGTACCCTCCAGTCTGGTACTTGGTTCCAGGAGTGACCTCTGTGTAAACAAATGCACCATATTCGTGATTACTGTTAGACAGATCATTGTCACTGAACATTCGTAGTGTGTGTACTTAAATGTGTTTGTTCAACCAATGGAAATCATCCTTTCAACAACGAAATAAAGTTTGTAAAACAGCAAGCATCTTTCTGTTCCCGCAGATTTAATAGGGTAGAGTCCGCGTCAGCGAAATTGTAGATGGGGGATATAAATATTTTTTATAAGATTATCCCTGTTAGATATAAGGAAGGATGATAAACAGACCCTGAATTAATTTGACTGGTTATGTATGAGAGTGGAATGCATGACAAGCGTTTCATCTCATTTCAGACTCTTCAGCTGAACATATCTGAACCCAAGTGAGTGATACTGTTCTCAATGAGATTGAAACTCAGAACCAATAACTTCATGTACCGCAGCATTATCTGCCAGACCACTCATAGGTACCACCCATCAAATTACATCATAATTATTTTCTAAACACTTTCCATGTATCCTTGTGGGAGCCCGCATGCCAATTGAGATCTATATATTCGGTTCACTACGATAATCAACAAGAAATCAGAAATATCAAAAAAGTCTTGAATTAGTTGATCAGTAAACCAATCCAATCCAAAACAAATACTTCACACACTTCTACCTACAGGCAACGATGCGCGTAAAATCAACATGGCTGTATAAATTTCAGAAAGCTTCTTACTGACACCGCAATAAACAGGAAAAAGACCGATTTTGCAACAGATATTGTTTTTTACCACCACATTAACTAAAACAGCCAATTTTTCATATAAAACAAACTGGGTTTTAAACGGAAATAAATTCTGCTCAACTAGTTTTCATATAGTTTTGGTGCTTCCACTGTGTGCCACGCAGTAACATCGACTTGTAGTACAAAAATGTTAAGACAGCCTACTGTTTTCTTGTTAGCTGGAGATTCACCACTGCGTGATTTCAAGTATTATTTGGTGTGAACATCAAGAACACGAATAATAAGGATGATCAGTAAGCTCAACATTTTCAAGAGTTGTTGTAGTCTAAACTTATAAAAGCATAAAATATAATTTTAATATTCCTCATCTATGTAGACAACCTCCTTTCGGATAAAGCCATAAAGCTGTTGGTAAGTCAGTTAATTCCTGCAACATTTGAGTGAACTTTTGTGATAATTCGCAGGTACTCATCGAATATTAGTTAGGGGGTAAAGATAAGCTCAGAATTCATAAATATCAGGCATTCAGAAAAACTGCACTATATGGCAAATTTATGAGTTTGACATGCTGCTCATGACAACACTTAAGATAACTTTAAGTATCATAGCTTAAAGTTTACCCGTTGTACAATGAGTGACTATCATGACTCACTGGCTTAGTGAATAACGCTCAAGCGCTTGAATCTATTGACTGTGGGTTCGAGTCCTACTAGGAGGAATATCACTCATTAGGGTGCAGGTACATTCGGCTGACGAGTCACAAACACGACGAAGTGCATATTGTAAATTCCACTGCTACCCACTGTACATCAGTATTATCAATTAAGACCACTTTACATCAAACTTCCTTCTCATCTGATTCAGATAAGGTGAAAAATAAGAACCAAGCGGCTCTGTAAGAGCATAATGTCGTTAAATCAAATACGTAGGCTGATTTATTTTCTAAACTTGAAAGTGCACCACACACTTTTTCACCCTAAGATAAGAACAAATAAAAATTAGACAGCGAAGTGTAATTGCATCAAAATATCATCTTACTTTCCGCATACTGTTCAGTCTGATAAAGTTTTACCCATATCAGCAATCTTCAAACGGTCAACAGCCTACTGACTAACTATCTAAGATAATAATGAAATCTACACTTTTCAGCACACGCCTTTAAAATGCAGTTACTACCTGTTTTACCAGACACCAAATTAAAAATCCTTATTGTATAAAAGGTTATGTGGCTGACAATAACAGTGATAAAAACCTACTTAGTGTCCAGATTCATATTCAGTATATTAAATACAAGTGTGCCTATGACTAAAAAATGCAGCTCAACAACCGCATGCAGATTCATTTACTACAGTGAGTCACACCTGTTGTTTAAGTGCTTTTGTACTGACTAGTTGTTCAAACGTTGGTAAGTGTGAGGGCTACAACTAACTCGCAACAGTCTATGGGCACCTGTGTGTGGACAGGACTGTAAAATAGTCGTTTCAAGTAAAACTCAATGTATTACAACCGAGTTAATTAGCTTGCAATGATTTAAAAAGCAGGTTAGGGACTTATTAGATTGAGCAATTAACATTCGACTGGTGAGTGATGAGTCGAAAGTTTGCTCTGTTTGCTGAGGCAAAGACACTAAGGGAGTATAGTAATAAGTGAGGTTGAACACGATCACTAAGTTACATATTAGCATGTATATATACATGTATACATTAACT